GATTATTGATCCAAATGATCCACAATGGAGGTGGATTGTTTCGGTCATAACCAAAACCAAGAGACTATAAAGGGGACAGAGAGGGCATCCCCCATACACACCCTATTCCATAGGTAATTCGTCTCGAGTTATTTTTAGAATCGGGATAAAGTTACCTCGCGCGAGGCGTGGATATTTCGTGGAGGTTTCGCATGACCAAACACCGTGCAAAACATGTCGGGCGAGAGGCAATGAAAGCGTAAAAAGATCGAGAGCATTCCTGAATATTGAAGCGAAATGAGTCGGCACTGACCTGGGAAAAAGGAATCGCTGGACTCTTTGACAACCCGTGAAATCGGTTTAACTCGAAGTTGTCGTAACTTCAGTGCTTTAATAAAATGAGAAATTTCGCCGGTCTATTGAAACCGGTCGTTTGTACAATTTAGGGAGTTTAAGATCCAACGACGCGGACGACAACTAGAACGTCAAAAAAAACAATAGGTTTAATTAGCAAAACAACAACTTTGCACGTGCAAAACACTTTTTTGTTCATTTCTTTCCCGTTTTTGCACGACTACGACGTGAAAATGCCTAATATCGCGTTTTATGGAGGACGTAAATAAGCAACGACGAAATTTTATTTCTCTTTCTGAGCTTGAATATGGTCCCTTGAAATTCAGCTTTAGGAGGGTTCGCCTACAATTGACAAAGTAAGTGGGTAGGAATAATCGCTATAAAGACTGAAAAAAATAAACATCAAACCAGAAATTGCTCTCTTCAAACTGTAAATTATAAATGATCCTGAGAGAATATTCAGTGTGTTAAGGATTTCCCTGCTCTACTGTTAGCTCTATACAAGAGAGGAAGGGCGATTCTTTTTTAATTTCGGTTTCGCTGACACAGCTTTCGCAGAAATCTCGCTGTAGTCGTTTTCGTCGACAAAAGGAATAGCAAAATCGCTCTCCGCGTCTTCCCCCATTTTGTTCTGCGTCATTTCGTGAAGGACGCGTGGCTCTCAGCGTGGGTCATCCACGCGGAACACATTCGCGCTATGTGATTGGCTGTTGTCTAATCCCCCTTGAGATCTGTGGTGTTAAAAATAACTCGAGACGAATTACCTATGGAATAGGGTGTATATGGGGGATGCCCTCTCTGTCCCCTTTATAGTCTCTTGCCAAAACCAGATACGTTGGATATATGATCCGAAGCGTTTTCTCCACTACGGATCCGAAAAGAGTGAATATTGCCAGCGGTAACTCGAAACAATTTTCATACATAAATCAGCTGCTCATCTTTAAGGCCATTTTGAACCCGAGGCATAGATGAAACAATCGATTTCATCTGCTTTATCGGGGTGGTAAAATCGCAATACAAACAGGACCTGCATTGTTCTAGTTCACGAGGTCAAAACTGATACACACTTAACCGGCGCGTTTTACAAGATTTTACTTTTACAGTACACTTCTTATTTTAAGACTCGTCTTTGATTTGGCCCGTCAAAAGCAGTATCCTAAAGCTAACCGTCCAGGTTACAACGAAAGATCAGCAAACTTGCGACACTGTCAGCAGCCGTGTTATTCTTTCTTCGGGATACCGTCGATGTTGTGGGTCGTCTTTATCGAAATTTTTTGGATACATCCGGATTTTTGATCTGATCTTGGATTTTAGTAAAGAAACGCACCCCAACAGACCTACAACAGGTAACTATGAATCGACCTGAAAATAATTTTACAACACAGAAACAAATTGAAACGATTGCATGAAGGTTTTTGGTTTCAGCCGAGATTTATAATTAAAAATAAATTTACAACAGAAAAAAGAATTGAAACTGAATAGACTTGTTCACCATCACAATTTTCCAAAAAAGACGGGTTTCATAGTCCTAAAAAGTTACGCCTTAAGTAAAATCAGATGGGGAACAATGTTCCACAGTTTTATTTCCGAGAGAATCTAAAATTAGATTTAAATTTTGATAGGGTTAGTAACGTGCGGCTTTTCACTCGACTTCCAACCGAAGCTTCTCTTCACATGTCCCTAGTTATCCAATGAATTCCAAACGCAAAAAGTATCACATAATGTACGTTTGAACATTAGAAACAATAACGTAGTAAAACCTGAAAGTATCCATTTCCCCGCCTGTCGCTGAGAACGTCATCCAGGAAGCCCAAGCTGTTCAGTGCAGTCCTCCAAGGCACGTACTTGGATTCTTTACTCAAATACTTCAAGGTACCCAGAGCAATGGTGTAGTCCAAGTACCCGGCTCTGATAGGAATGTCACAAAAAAGGCCCCAAGATTAATTTCTAACAACACTTATTTAACAGTTTCCAAAGTAAGACAGTGAATGGTTTGAGCCTAGGAGTCACACCATTAGTAGGTATATTATCTTCCAGGTGAGGAAGTCTTGAATAGGAATGTTGATGACAGTGACTGACGTTTTGACAGTTTGTGTTATATTCAGAGTTAAGGTGATTTGTATCTCGTCAGTTGATGGTATTTAACTCTGGTTATAGAACACTAGTGATATTTTCATGTGAAACCTAAGCGATGAAGCCGGGAAAAACGATGAGTGACGCCACCATGATCCTAAACATTTTGCCTGAAGTAACCCTCTAAAGGTAGGGCTAGTTTCATACAGTTGAACCTCTTTCGCCTCAACAGCCACCTTGGGGACAGAAGAAATTGGCCGTTGTAGAGAGGTCTGGACAAGAGTAAATGTATAGATTGTCCGCCAAAGAAAAGTGGCCTTGTGGAGAGGTGGTCGTTAGTGAGGGAGATATAAACATTTGGAGTAAAGTGTTACTCTTTCCATACCCAAAACTACCAACGCCTTCATTTCAGTTGTTTGTAATGTTTAATATTTGATTGCGGATTTGTTACGAATCACGAGTAGGAATAAATTACAAACAAACCTTGCCAAGTTAAAGGCATCATCAATTAAACTCGATCTGTCCTCTGCAGTAAAAACCTGTGAAAATAGAGTGAAATCCAGTCACAATGAATACCGTCCAAACATTGATTTCTAGTCGCAGATTTTGACAGCCCTTTGTTCCATATTCATAAGAGTGTCATGTAAGTAAACAGTTCCAAGTTACACACAGTAATTTTTTAGGGAGTTATTATAACTCCAAAAATGGAGTAAAAATTTAAGGTCACAATTTGGGGTTACTTTAACTCCTCAATAGTAACTTCAAATCCGGGGTGATTTTTACTCTTGAAAAAGAGTTCTTTAAACTCCTTTTTGGAGTTAAAATAACTCCACAGTATGGAGTTAAATTAACCCCACTAGAGGAGTTATTACAATTCCTTGAGAATTACTGTGCAAGTTCATTTCAAGATGGCTAAAAGTTTGTATCGCTTTATAATAAGTAGCTTCAAAATACTCGTAAAACGAAGCCCTCGGGGGGAGTAAAATGACTGGACCTTCAGCCTCAGGTTTGTCAGTTTAAGTACTGTTACCAGGGTTCGCACACTTTTTTGAACCAAAAATTCAAGGACTTTTCAAAAAAGAGCCCTGAGTCTATGTTTTTTTTTTAGCTCTTCCACAACATGAGCAATCGTATCCTGAAGGTCTTTCTGTGTTTGCTGGGTTGGATAAAGTTAGCAACGAATTTCAAGGACTTTCCAGCACCTACTGCAATTTTCAAGTTCTTTCAAAGTCTTGAATTTTTATTTTCAAGGTGAGTGTGAACCCTGTGTTGTTAAAAGATATAAGGACCTTTACCTTAAATGTAATTTTGGTCTGTGACAATGAATTTTTCCCCGACGCCGTATAATTTTTTTTCTTGTTGCCTCACTAACACAAAATGCATTATCTTTATACTTACAAACTTTACTCATTCCAACCATAAATACCTACATGACCTCAAAACTCTAATTCTAACTCATCCACGAACTCTTGTGGTTAAAAAGGAATCACATTTAAGCTGACTTACTGTATGATGAACAAAAAGTTTGAACACTGTAGGATATCTAACTTACATTCTATTGTTAGTAACAATTCATTTTTACTGTTGTATTCTATTCTTATATAACTAACCAAATAAGAGCACAGAATAATAGAGCGGTTTTCACTTGACTGTCGTAAAACCAAAACCAAAGTAAATACACTAGGCAACCAAAGAGCGTAGTAAAACCAAAACCAAACCAATTCCTCAATTACTTTCGACAGTCAAGTGAAAACCGCTCTATAATGAATTCAGTAGTAGTTGTATGGTTGATGTATTACTACAGAAAAGCTAAGAAATCCACTACCAACCGTATGATCTGTGTTAAGTTGTTTAATAAGAGCATTCCAGTTGTCATTGTCATAGTGAACTCTGTAGAACCCAACTTGTTTGACGTTTCCTTTGATCCATTTATCAATAGGCCAAGTAAACTCAACTAAAGAAAACAAACCAGCAATGTTGTGGACGTAGAGTTAAAAGTAGAAAAAAAAAATGATAAAGTAAATGAAGACAAGAGGTATGTCGACTTAACTTTGTATTCTATTGAGGTCAGAGAAAAAGAGTTGTGAGGGGTGGGTGTCAAAACAAACGAGGTTTGAGGCTAAGGAATGGGGTCGATATAGGAGCCCATCACGTCTGGGGGTCCATCGGGGGCCCTGTAGGGGAAGGGGTTAGAGAAATATATCTATAGGGATACGTTACATTGAGATGATCCGATCATCAAGATCATGGTACATCAAAGGAACCGATGAATCCTTCCTGGGAAATTATTCATCGCTCCATTTAAATCGTCAGGATCTGTCTGGGTGATCCCGGATCATTGATCCTGATCCGGATCACCCCAATGGAACACACCCTTCGCGACCACTGAAAAGCGCATTTTTTCACGCCTTTCTGTTACTTCTTCGATAATGGAAGAACTGTTGAAGTATTAGCAGCTTAAAGAACTCTTAAACTTCTAGAGCTGAATTGTTGAAAAGGGAGGGGGGGGAGGATGTCGGAAATATTTCTCGCTTATTGTGCGGTTATAGCAATGGCATGTTTAAAGAACTCATGAAGGGAAAGCCTAGTGCCTGAAAAAACTTTCAAAACTTCGTTGAACGGCTGCTTGAACTTCTTGACGTACAAAAAGTGACGACGACAGACGACGAACGGCATACCGCAAGTTAAGCTATTTGCTGTGAAACGTGGTGCGCAAAAAATCTCTTCTATAAGCTATCAACAAGAAAATGATATTCTCGATAGCCATTTCTTAGTCCTAAAGCTTCAAAGGCTATTCAACAGATTCAACCAGTAAAGATCTCGTCGTTTTTACTTGACAATTCGCTAGTCTCATCTATAAGTGCTGGAAATCCTTCTCTGCTCCGATTGGCTGAAGTGTTTCTGGCGAATAGCTTTAATAGGTTAAAACCTAACACAATGTGACTCAGGCCTCATATGGGAGATGGGCGCTCCAGGCTGATGGCAGCCTCATTTACAATTTTCTCTCCCACTCGTTTCCCGAAGAGAACCGTGGGAACGAAGTTGGGCTGATGATCGATTTTGTTACAGAATCATTTGGAACTTGATTAGCCCATTGCTACATTGACATAGCCGTTATAAACATTACAAAACTCATTTCACGAAAACAAATGTATCTTTTAACAAACCTTGATCAGATGAGATGTTCATCTAAACAGTTTTGGGATCTTGGGATGATCCTTCATAAACGTATGTCAGAGGAACGTACCATCTGTAACTGCAATATTAAGTGAACACAGTCTGATTTTAAATTTAACGATAGATAAGGGCGATAAAAGCTTTAGACACGTTTTAGACCACGTATTTTGTACGTTCTGTTAAGGGTGGATTTTGAATATTTACTTTTAAATATATCGACCGTTTTACAATGACACTTTCAGAGGAAGTAGGCAAGTCAACAACAACAACAACAACAATACCTTTATTCGCCTTGTACTTAATTAATTACATACTCACGTGAAAGAGAAAAAATATATATTTATTTGTACTTAATAAAGCCTGGAGCTGAAATAATCCTAAGATTTTCTAGCCAGTTCTCCAGAATTTAAAGTTTTAGAGAATTGAGATATAATTTATTTCCAAAGAAGCAGTTTTAAAATACAAGGTATTAAGAAAGAAAGAGTATATGCTTAAGTTATGTTAACTATGTTGTTCTGACAGCAAATAAGGTTTCAATTGTTTTTGGAATTGGTATGTGTTTAGTTCTTTAAGAGTTATGGGAATTTTGTCCCAGATTTGCAGCATATCCGATTGTTTGTTTCCCCGTATTAGTTCGCACTTTTTTTACGTAAAGATTCTGTTTCGATGCATATCTGGTATTGTATTTGTGGACATTACTGGCATATTGAAAATAGTTTGAGAACAGCTGTGGCAGGAGGCCTTTATGCCAACACCTCCTGCCTGCGTTTTTGAGTTAGTGTTCACAAAAGCATAACCAGTTCCAACGTTTAGTCCTCAGACTGTACGCACTCTCAAATTAAGTACTTTTTTGTTCAAGTAAAAAAGTGTAGAAGACGTGCGAAAGGAAAATTAAGAACACTTAATTTGTTTATCTGAGGCAAAGTTTACACCAGAAGAGAGTTTTTTTGGGTACGTGACGAAACCCAGGAAAATTTTGGAACCCGATTCCCGCAACGTTTTTCCCTATCTATTTCACGCTCACTAACGTATGCTAACTTTAACTGCTTGGAACTAAAAAGACGGAATTTGTGCATTTTCCAGGAAACTGATCCTGAGTTCTCTGTAATCTCCTACTGAGACAACCACCCTTTGTCTTCCCACATAAGGATGGTTCTCCCAACAGAGTAGCTTAGCGTGATGACACCAAAAACGGCTCATTAAACTATGCATGACTTCTGTTGTAGGCTGTCATTACATTGTACGTTTGTTTATTGGACACTCACTTGAATGGTGATGATTCTTTAACCACAGCATTAGGGTCCAGGAGGAAATGTTTCTGCTTTGCTATGCCTTTGTTTGTTTTGTTAACACGTTTGATTGTTACTACAGGGAATCCCATTTGAAGCGTCCATGTGTCCATGATGGTCTTGACATCCATACCTGCTTTCTAGTGAACAGAAAATAACAGTTGGCCAGTTATCTCAGTCCTCTTTGTTTTCACTAACATTCCTTAAAATTTATCCGTTCGAAATATAGCTGGTACCAACTTCACAAGTAGGAATTTTGATTAAGAACGTATGCCCAGTTGCTTCCCTTGTGAAGTTTCTGATATTTGATGTGAGTCCTGTTGTATTTCAACCAAAGGCGGTTTTGAGCGTCATGCACGTCAACGGGAAGTGAGGTCTTTTTCATTTGACGCTTCCAAATTTGTATTTCTAAGTGTTTTTTCTATCATAGAGGCGATTTGTCCAAACAATTGGGCAAAACCACCGTCCAAAAATGGAAAACGACAACTTCCGGTTGACGTGCATTGCTCAAAGCCTCAAAAACGTCTTTGCCTAAGCTCACTACTTGCTAAACGGTGAAGCATGTGTCCCTCCTGAGTCACTGGAGATCAGCAAAATGAAAATTAAAACTGCTTCTTCGTTCTAAGGAAGGCTAAAAATCATATTTCAAGGTGAAACCCCACAGAGGTTAGCCTTTGGCGCTTACTACATTCCGAAAAGTGTGAAAACAAACTATTCATGGAAGGAGGGGCGGGGGGGCGTGAGGGAAGAGGGGCCCTTTGCCTGTTAGCACTCCCTTCTCCCTTGAATACCTACCATGCAGGATAGTAAACAGATAAGTATGATAAGAATAGCCAACAAGCAGAGGGATATAGGGTCTCATGCCTGTCATTTCATCTAATACTATAAGCTACCTTAAGCCATGCGAGGTTATTTCACCACCATGTGTCGTTGGGTGCTTCCTTTACTTCCACACGCCCATTTTTAACCCTTTTTATTGGTGTGTTTTTCTTTTCTGAGGGGGAGGGCGAGGGGATGTGTTTTTCTTTTCTGAGGGAGGAGGGGATGTGTGTTTTTATTTTTTGAGGGGGAAGGAAAGGATGATATGTGGGTTTTACTTTTTTGAAGGGAGAGGGAGGGGATAAAACTTCACTAACATCTTTAAGAGAGAGGGCAAAATTTGATAGTTTCAATGACTGATAAATGACCATTCAAATGACCCTAGTTATTTGGAGACACTTCAAATTAAAAAAAAGGGTTTTGAAAGTGTTGATTATCATGATAACTGCTGACATTCCGTTATTCTACTTACCTCTCCCAAGGCATTCCAAAGGTCTTTGGTTTCGGCATTCTTAAAGGCATACTTCCTCAAATAATACTGTATGTATTAACAAAAGGTAAAATAAACTTCTAAATTTAAAAAAATTCAATTAATTAAATTCAGATCTAATAAAAAAATGGCTAAATAACAAATTTATATACTAGTTTTTCACAAATTATACATACACTAAGTCCCTCCTTGAACTTTTCCCTGCCAACAAAACCTTCAAGCATCCGAATAATGGAGGAACCCTGCAATAATAAAAATTAGGAAATATATGTCTATAAAATTTCATAAACCTTTAATTATTACAATAAATGTAGAAATACACTAGAAAAGGCTTGATTACCAGTCATTGTGCAGGAGGACTGGATGCAGGAAAGAGGCAGAAATCCAGGGTAGTTACATAGCAAAACAAAACCCCAAGTGGTTGTCCTTCTTTCCAGAGCCAAGGGCGGCAAGAGAAAAAGTAGAATTATGCAAATATATGGTTAAAAGGAGGAGAAATTAGGGCAGAGAAGGGCTTGGCATGGGCTTCCGCCCTTGTTCCTTGCCGCTTTAATTTGCTGCTTGCCCCTCAGAATCACTCCCAATCTATCTCAAAACAAAAATAAAAGACTGCTCACAGTCTATATAAAAACTAGCTTCTTATTAAAACTTTAACAACTATACCTTGCTATATGAAATTCTATCAAATAACTGTTTGATCTTTTTAGGATGATCAACTTCAACAGATATAGGATGAGAACTTGCTAATGAATCCAATGGGAAAACATTCTGAAGATCATAAAGGAGGAATGCTTCCATCTGTAAAGTTAACACACAAAAAATGAACATCACAACCAAAAATTAAGTCACACCTTATATTATTGGTGTACAGGTCTGCTGTTATAATTACCTGTAATTGACTAACTTGTAGGTGATGAGCTTGGTTAAAGCAGCTAACGTTGCTGAGTTACAGCTCCAGTATACTTTAGAGGCCTCATTTTTGTTTTTTTAAAAAATGGTTTTCATATATTTTAAGTATGTTTTGTTATTCAGGTTTCTTATGTTAACCTATTTGCCCCTGAGCCACCTTGGTAGTTTTGGTTCATTACAACCAGACAGTGACCACAAAACAGCTTGACGAGCTGTGAAAGGTGATTTTTGGCACAATTCCCAAGAGTGAACGGCCGAGCAATGTAAAGTACCACGTTTTCTGAGAAAATCCAATTTTGATCATAACAACAATGGAACCAAATCTGGCCACTCCATTGCCATAAGCCCCTGAACCACCCATGCAGATCCACATCAATTCTACCGCTTGTGATGTCACCAGTTTCAATGTTCAAGGACAACTTCGTCAGCTAATGTGGAGCAGGGTGAAGAGATCTTTCAAACCATAAAAGAATGAGCCAGAGAAAAAGGCAAAATATCATGAAAATATATTGACTTGAAAAATTCTCATGAAAATCTTGTGGAGGAAAAGACATGCAGATATTGTCATGGTCCAAACAATAAAATTTCGACTGTACTTATGTTGTAAGAAGAGACAGATGTACATTGCGCTTATTAGCAATACGGAACTTTAACACTCATGATGGCAACTGCAACAAAAATGTTACTTTTAAATTGAATTAGCATTTTTACAAAGTATATAATGTCACTTTTATCCCCATATTTCGCTGAAAATGTCCAATGTAGCAAATTTTAAAATAATTTCTTAGGGACCCCAATTAAGCGAAAGAAAACTTCAGTCACTGCTTGTTTCCATCCTCCATAAAGCATGAAATTACTAGGCATTTTCACATTGTAGTCGTGCAGGGATGGCAAAGAAATGTACAAAAAAGTGTGCTGCACATGCAAAGTTTTTGTAATTTGTTGCTTAACAAGCCCATTGCTTTTTTGACGTTCTCCTTGCCACTGCCGTCATAGTTGCCATAGCTCCCTATATTTGACTAGTATGGGAGATTACAGCTACCACTATGCTCACCATTTGCCAGTCCGGGTGGGTGTAGTTCACTCCAAGATACTCCACAAAACTGGCAAATCCTTCATTCAACCACAAGTCATTCCACCACTTGGGAGAGACAATGTTTCCAAACCACTACAAAGTTTTTAAAAATTACTTATAATTTATGATGAAAGACTGACACAGCAAAATGCAGCTAGTACTGAATTACAGCTTTCAAGGTTATAAAAAAACAATACAAGGGGTGTTTCATGAGGAGGTTTTCCAAGTTTAGCTCAAAATAAGTTGACACATTATTAACTTCAGGCCATATATGACCAGTGTTTGTAACAGAACTAGAGGAGGGGATTCTTACTTGTGTGAATTAATTTTCTACTTTTTGTATTATTCCTGTTTTACATTTTTGCAATGATCATAACTGTAACACAAATTCTCCAATCTGACTGGCTATTGGCAGCCAGATTTTGGCTGGAACTGTCAGCACATGTCACCCCTAAGTAATTTGGTGGGACAGTTGCTTTTGAATGTGTTCTTTTTCCCTCGTGTTTAAAAGTAAAAAACTCTCTACAGATCTTAACTTCTGTTTTGATTGAACAAATGTTGAGATTATCACACCAACTACTATCTCAATTTTTTTTGTGTGTCTTATAATTCTGTGTGTACCAGCAATCATACTCATGATTAAGCTAATTAGACTCCCACTAGCTACATGAACTGTGCAGGGTTGTCAGAAAGCTTTGAAGTTATTGGCCATTTCGGAGTTGCGTAGGGAACTGGGGCAAGTTTCAAATTTAAACTAATCGATAAACTGACAGCACCATATAAAAGGTCATGTTGAGATTGGTTATTTGACCAAGTTTGGTGCTCCAAAGTTGAACAGGCATCAAGTTATGACTCTTGTAACATGGTTAAAGATACGTACAAACGTCTGTAATTTTGTGACAGCNAACTGTAACACAAATTCTCCAATCTGACTGGCTATTGGCAGCCAGATTTTGGCTGGAACCGTCAGCACATGTCACCCCTAAGTAATTCGGTGGGACAGTTGCTTTTGAATGTGTTCTTTTTCCCTCGTGTTTAAAAGTAAAAAACTCTCTAGAGATCTTAACTTCTGTTTTGATTGAACAAATGTTGAGATTATCACACCAACTGCTATCTCAATTTTTTTGTGTGTCTTATAATTCTGTGTGTACCAGCAATCATACTCATGATTAAGCTAATTAGACTCCCACTAGCTACATGAACTGTGCAGGGTTGTCAGAAAGCTTTGAAGTTATTGGCCATTTCGGAGTTGCGTAGGGAACTGGGGCAAGTTTCAAATTTAAACTAATCGATAAACTGACAGCACCATATAAAAGGTCATGTTGAGATTGGTTATTTGACCAAGTTTGGTGCTCCAAAGTTGAACAGGCATCAAGTTATGACTCTTGTAACATGGTTAAAGATACGTACAAACGTCTGTAATTTTGTGACAGCATCCCCCCAAAACCTCATAAACTCTTTAAAATATTTTTCAGTTTTTCTGTTAAACTGTAAAATTCGTCATGCATTTTCTACTTGGAAGGAACTAATTAGAAAATCACTATGTATTTGCCTATTTTCAGAACACAGAAATTGTGAAAAAAAAATTAAGTGTTTATATGGTTTTGGGGGATGCTGTAACAAAATATGGATCTTTAACCATGTTTCAAGAGTTATGACTCGATCCCTGTTCAACTTTAGAGCACCAATTAAAGTTGGTCAAATAACCAATCTCAACATGACCTTTTATATGGTGTGTCAGTTTATCGATTAGTTTAAATAAATTTGAAACTTGCCCCAGGTCCCTACGCAACTCCGAAATGGCCAATAGATGGCTGAGTTGTCACAGTAAGCAGCCAGTCCAGGGATATTTTATTCAAAAAATGTCATCTGTATGTCATCTGATACTAACCAAGTAGGCAGCGATTTTCGCTGGCAGGCGGCTACTTTTGGCAACCCTATAGGTGGTGTTCCAATATTGTTTATAAGTAATATATCAAGCGTGAGACGTTCAACACAGTGTTTCATCACCAGATGAAACACTGAGAAGATAGTTGAAAATATGACGTGCAGTGGAGTATTTTTAACGAACTGCTTTGTATTTTCTGTATGAATTATTAATGAGTTTGATAATCACTCATGTATAATTACAGAGTGAATTAGGGATTCCACTGAGCAGTGATTTTGTTAAAAATAGTTATGGTGAGTCCTGAGATTCATCTTAAGCTTCCTTTATGCAACCTGCAGTCAGTTAATCTGAAGACAGCCTGCAAAACTCTGTATTAAAGGCAAATGCATTGTTAAACAACAGCCATAATAACTGCCACAAAAATTACACGAACAGGCCGGTCAGTGACATTTCTTCAAATACATGTGTTCAGATCTAGACTGCAAAATAGTCATTTTTTTTCTCAAAAGCGTAAGAATAGTGAAAGAGTCTCACGCACGAAGAGCTAGAGTTTCACACACTCCTCCGTCTCACTCTCTGTTTTCAGCCTCGTTCCAGACCTTTTGTTTGACTGTCCGTGGGTACTTGAATACCCCAATATACGGACTGTTTTGCAGTCTAGTTCAGATTGATCAATCGATCTTTGCATCCTATATCTACGGGATGCATGCCATGAATTATTTTGGGTCTTTGGGGATTTTTATGCGTCGAGGACACAGGACCCAGAGGTAACAAAATCAATGACTCAGTACAATTTATTACCATTATTCATAAAAATTGTTACCTTATATTATCATACCACTTCTTCACTTATCTTTCTTCCCATTCCCTCTTTATTTTTACTAATTCCTAAGAAAAATTTTAGCCACTACAAAATGTGGAATTTTCTTTTCCAAACAATAGTAATCATCTATTTGATGCTCATAAATAAATACATAAAATAGCATTTCCAAGCATTAGATGTTGAATTTTCTGAGGAGCAAATTCCCCCAGAGGGCCTTACTCACTGCTACTACTAATTCACTATAGTCTATTGGCAGCTTAAATTTGAAAAAAAAATTAATGAAACTCCTGAAAAATGATCAAATCTTATAATTTTTTGTATATATATAATGTTTTTTGTTCCATACCTGATGAGCCAGTTCATGTGAAACCACAGTAGCAACCCTCTGTTTATTGCTTTCAGAGGATACACCTTCATTGAATAGTAATGCTGTCTCACGATATGTGATCAATCCCCAGTTTTCCATGGCTCCAGACGAGAAATCAGGGATGGCAATCATGTCTAAATAAAATTTGTTATATACATGTACCGGTATTTGGGTGAGTTTTCTAATATTTACAATTATACACAGGTAAACAGTTAACAAGTACACTTCATAAAATAATTGCTTATAATTAATATACTACTTTCATTAATTGTAAAAGGTTATTCTTGTTAACATAAAAGCTGTTGGGTTTTGAAAATTTGGTCATTTGGGCTGCAGAATTGTGTCACATAATTTAATGACAAATATTACTATAACTAATGAATCCGGTGGATATCACACATATTACATGAATGCTCAATATTTGCATGTACACCTTGTAAACAAGTTTCAAGAAAGCAGTATTCTTTATTCCCATCAATAAGTGGAGAAAACGTAGAAATTAACTCCAAAGAATATCTTGCTCCTTAATATTTAAGCAAGACAAGTTGAAAAGTGAAATAAACATATTTGGTTTACCTCAAAACCATTATATACGTATTTTTTTAATGTAATTTTTTAAATATTTTAACTTTAATTTTAGTTAAATGTATTTTTAGCTCATTTATATATCTTAGCACTTGGAGAAAAAATTGCTGGAGAACTTGACATGCATTTGGGCCAGGAAAAAGGAGGAGACTACATTAATAAGGTGGTCTAATGTAGGGATTTGTGTCAACCAAAATACAATACAATAATTTATTTAAAGTGGAACATACACGTAGCTATATGGATGAGTCAGGACACAGTGCTGAGTGAGCCATGCACGCCATGCGAGAGAAAAATAGAAAAAGCAAGTAATAGGAAAAAAAATAACCAAAAGCATTAACTGTTGAAAAAGAGTGTTTAACGCCAAAAAGTGCTTAGTCCTTAATATCCGTAAAAAAATTTTTAACTCTAAACAGCGCTCAACGTTAATACATAAAGCAAGTCAGTAAAATGAGCACTTACCCTAATCAGTTAATTAATTAAGCAGGAAAATTTTTCATGAATTTACAATTCCATAAAACTCTACTTTTTCCCATGGCTCGCATGGCTCGCTGGCTTGCAGATTGTCCAGATCCATATCGATTAGTTTAAAAGAAAAGTTCACCAGCTAATTTACAGTTATGCCACTGCATTAAATAAAATAAATCAAGAACACTTTAAAATTTATTCTTCAGCTAACTGGCCAAGAAAGTGTATTACTGCACTACTCACCCTGCTTGGGAAGTGGATAACCCAGGTTATAGTATTGCTCATAGTATGTAATGATATCCTTGCCAACACCCAGTGCATACTTAGTTTGGTTAACCTGAGCGGGAGTGGTCCACACTCTGAGCTGCAATAAAATATGCATTAAATAATAGTCAATGACGAATAGTTAAAAGAACATGTAGTTGTTATTATTTTATCATTTTTTGTAAATAATAATAATAATAATAATAATAATAATAATAATAATAATAATAATAATAATAATAAAATAGTCCATGATGAAACGTCCTCATTTTATGAAAAACAACTTCTACCCATTTTGGTGCGTAGATGCATGGTGCTTCAAAAGATTATAAACCCGATATAAGCATTGCTGAGAAATGACTCAGGTAAGGTAGAAAGGAACAAACATTGTTGTATGGATTTATTTTTTTACAGAGCCCGAGCAGGGGACAGGACAGGTAACAGTGTACACTCCGTTACAGTGACAAAATTGGCAGTGCAAATGATGCCAAACTGTTAAACCCAAAAAAGCTCCTGTGAGGATATATTATATAGCCAGTCCCAAAAAAGAGTCCATAAACATATATAGTAACCCAATAGAAGTGTCACTGGATTCTTTTCTTGACATTTTTTGATGCATCAACCTTAAACCTATACTGTTAAGGCAGAATTTTAGTCTATAGTCCTCTGGTAACCCCCACAAGGTCCTTGCAAAAAACTTGCACAACAAAATACCCAACTAAAAAAGGGTTCTTCTTAATAACTGATTTAATAACGTCAAGGTTTCTTGCACAGGTCAGGAGGACTTGAGCCTCTGTAGCCTACAGGGGAGTGGTACCCCCTCCCCCCAAAAAAATTAAGCGGGGAGATTGTTCCATGAGGTCCAACCCTTACCCTTTTATTATACTGTTTTTGAAGCCTAGTGAAAAAGGTACCCCTGTCGAGAACAGCCTCCCAATGTACGTTATTTTATATAAGGAGTACCCCCCCCCCCTTGGCTCTGTAGATTAATTTATAGGTTTTATAAGGAAGATTGCTCTCCTCTAGCTGTAGCAGGGTGACTTTGTTCTAAGAAAGAAACCTAGCCAAAAAAAGCTAGCCAGAATCGTCTGAGGAACTGCAAAGTTAAACTGGCCTGAAGTTCGATTAAATACGTCCTTTCAACCTTAAAATCTACAAATTCCTGAGGAACCTAACCCAGGATTCCCAAATAGCAGTTTACATAAAGAAATGGTGAATGGGGCCATCAGTGTTCTAATACCAGACCACGGCACTGGGGCAATACCACCCTTTTTGGGAAATGCCGCACTCTTATTATTAGCCCAAGGGGTCACAAGGGTAGCCTGAATTTCATCCGATTGCTTTGAGTCGTTTTCTCCCCTCAACAACGTCTGAATCGACTGGCCGTTTAAAATGCCGTCCATTGACGTCACTCACTACCCGAAAACCGGGTAGTGATTTTGATTGGTTGATTGTCTAAACATTTGCATAATTATGTATAATTATGAAGAATTTTCGCGGAATTGTCACTTAATATTCAGCGGATCGCATCCCTGGCATTCTTTCGTTTAGTTCAAACATTTCGATAAGCTTAATCTTTATCTTAAACAGCAAAATTGCCCTTGTCTTCGACACTGAAATGCTAAATTGAACTGCGAATGAAGAATCATTGCGGAGAATCGGTAGGTTTTTCATTTAGAGCCGCTTTGTGGTTACAGCGACCGGTGATTTTGTTTACGCGAAGTTTTCTGAGATCAATGTTATAATTCGACCTTCTTGCTATTTTTACCGTCAAGTGTAATGATTCTGTGAGCTTTTCTTTCTTGTCTCCTTGTTTTTTTTCTTCGTTAAGGACCAAATTGCATCTTTTCGATTAAAGCAAATCATTGTGTTTTTGAACTAAGTGTTCCATGTGTGCGTTTATTTCATTACGTGATTGCGAGTTTGATTATAGAATTTAGTACAACCGGTTCAGAGTTGTACTGCATGCAGTTGATAGTTTGAACGTTAAACATGAATTACAATCGAAAAAAATAAAGCAGTTATGTATCATGCAGACATTTCCAAACGATATTTCTTGGTTTGCCACTTGAAAATCATGTTTTACTTTTTGCATGAATTAAAGCAAAGGGTAAGGAGTAGTGACGTCACTGGATGGTATTAACGGCCGGTCGATTCAGACGTTAACGAGGAAGTAATAATGACTCGAAGTAATCGGATGCCCCTCAGGCTATCACAAGGGTGCAAAGAAGGAAAACAAAATGTCATAAACAACCATACACATACGTAAATTTTCCTTATAATATAAGCCAAAATTTAATTGGTTGTGGCATCTTTAGAAAACACCCAATCAGTTGAGTTAGCTGTATCTAAAAATTGTGACCCGCTTTTCTCCCTCATGACCCCCTTTCAGCGATCTCTATGGGTCATTGTAAACAAGTTTCAAGAAAGCAGTATTCTTTATTCCCATCAATAAGTGGAGAAAACGTAGAAATTAACTCCAAAGAATATCTTGCTCCTTAATATTTAAGCAAGACAAGTTGAAAAGTGAAATAAACATATTTGGTTTACCTCAAAACCATTATATACGTATTTTTTTAATGTAATTTTTTAAATATTTTAACTTTAATTTTAGTTAAATGTATTTTTAGCTCATTTATATATCTTAGCACTTGGAGAAAAAATTACTGGAGAACTTGACATGCATTTGGGCCAGGAAAAAGGAGGAGACTACATTAATAAGGTGGTCTAATGTAGGGATTTGTGTCAACCAAAATACAATACAATAATTTATTTAAAGTGGAACATACACGTAGCTATATGGATGAGTCAGGACACAGTGCTGAGTGAGCCATGCACGCCATGCGAGAGAAAAATAGAAAAAGCAAGTAATAGGAAAAAAAATAACCAAAAGCATTAACTGTTGAAAAAGAGTGTTTAACGCCAAAAAGTGCTTAGTCCTTAATATCCGTAAAAAAATTTTTAACTCTAAACAGCGCTCAACGTTAATACATAAAGCAAGTCAGTAAAATGAGCACTTACCCTAATCAGTTAATTAATTAAGCAGGAAAATTTTTCATGAATTTACAATTCCATAAAACTCTACTTTTTCCCATGGCTCGCATGGCTCGCTGGCTTGCAGATTGTCCAGATCCATATCGATTAGTTTAAAAGAAAAGTTCACCAGCTAATTTACAGTTATGCCACTGCATTAAATAAAATAAATCAAGAACACTTTAAAATTTATTCTTCAGCTAACTGGCCAAGAAAGTGTATTACTGCACTACTCACCCTGCTTGGGAAGTGGATAACCCAGGTTATAGTATTGCTCATAGTATGTAATGATATCCTTGCCAACACCCAGTGCATACTTAGTTTGGTTAACCTGAGCGGGAGTGGTCCACACTCTGAGCTGCAATAAAATATGCATTAAATAATAGTCAATGACGAATAGTTAAAAGAACATGTAGTTGTTATTATTTTATCATTTTTTGTAAATAATAATAATAATAATAATAATAATAATAATAATAAAATAGTCCATGATGAAACGTCCTCATTTTATGAAAAACAACTTCTACCCATTTTGGTGCGTAGATGCATGGTGCTTCAAAAGATTATAAACCCGATATAAGCATTGCTGAGAAATGACTCAGGTAAGGTAGAAAGGAACAAACATTGTTGTATGGATTTATTTTTTTACAGAGCCTGAGCAGGGGACAGGACAGGTAACAGTGTACACTCCGTTACAGTGACAAAATTGGCAGTGCAAATGATGCCAAACTGTTAAACCCAAAAAAGCTCCTGTGAGGATATATTATATAGCCAGTCCCAAAAAAGAGTCCATAAACATATAGTAACCCAATAGAAGTGTCACTGGATTCTTTTCTTGACATTTTTTGATACATCAACCTTAAACCTATACTGTTAAGGCAGAATTTTAGTCTATAGTCCTCTGGTAACCCCCACAAGGTCCTTGCAAAAAACTTGCACAACAAAATACCCAACCAAAAAAGGGTTCTTCTTAATAACTGATTTAATAACGTCAAGGTTTCTTGCACAGGTCAGGAGGACTTGAGCCTCTGTAGCCTACAGGGGAGTGGTACCCCCTCCCCCTAAAAAAATTAAGCGGGGAGATTGTTCCATGAGGTCCAACCCTTACCCTTTTATTATACTGTTTTTGAAGCCTAGTGAAAAAGGTACCCCTGTCGAGAACAGCCTCCCAATGTACGTTATTTTATATAAGGAGTACCCCCCCCCCCTTGGCTCTGTAGATTAATATATAGGTTTTATAAGGAAGATTGCTCTCCTCTAGCTGTAGCAGGGTGACTTTGTTCTAAGAAAGAAACCTAGCCAAAAAAAGCTAGCCAGAATTGTCTGAGGAACTGTAAAGTTAAACTGGCCTGAAGTTCGATTAAATACGTCCTTTCAACCTTAAAATCTACAAATTCCTGAGGAACCTAACCCAGGATTCCCAAATAGCAGTTTACATAAAGAAATGGTGAATGGGGCCATCAGTGTTCTAATACCAGACCACGGCACTGGGGCAATACCACCCTTTTTGGGAAATGTCGCACTCTTATTATTAGCCCAAGGGGTCACAAGGGTAGCCTGAATTTCATCCGATTGCTTCGAGTCGTTTTCTCCTCTCAACAACGTCTGAATTGACCAGCCGTTAATGCCGTCCATTGACGTCACTCACTACCCGAAAACCGGGTAGTGATTTTGATTGGTTGATTGTCTAAACATTTGCATAATGATGTATAATTATGAAAAAATTCAGCGGATCGCATCCCTGGCATTCTTTCGTTTAGTTCAAACATTTCGATAAGCTTAATCTTTATCTTAAACAGCAAAATTGCCCTTGTCTTCGACACTGAAATGCTAAATTGAACTGTGAATGAAGAATCATTGCGGAGAATCGGTAGGTTTTTCATTTAGAGCCGCTTTGTGGTTACGGCGACCGGTGATTTTGTTTACGCGAAGTTTTCTGAGATCAATGTTATAATTCGACCTTCTTGCTATTTTTACCGTCAAGTGTAATGATTCTGTTAGCTTTTCTTTCTTGTCTCCTTGTTTTTTTTCTTTGTTAAGGACCAAATTGCATCTTTTCGATTAAAGCAAATCATTGTGTTTTTGAACTAAGTGTTCCACGTGTGCGTTTATTTCATTGCGTGATTGCGAGTTTGATTATAGAATTTAGTACAACCGGTTCAGAGTTGTACTGCATGCAGTTGATAGTTTGAACGTTAAACATGAATTACAATCGAAAAAAATAAAGCAGTTATGTATCATGCAGAATTTTCCAAACGATATTTCTTGGTTTGCCACTTGAAAATCATGTTTTACTTTTTGCATGAATTAAGGCAAAGGGCAAGGAGTAGTGACGTCACTGGATGGTATTAACGGCCGGTCGATTCAGACGTTAGTGAGGGAGTAATAATGACTCGAAGTAATCGGATGCCCCTCAGGCTATCACAAGGGTGCAAAGAAGGAAAACAAAATGTCATAAACAACCATACACATACGTAAATTTTCCTATAATATAAGCCAAAATTTAATTGGTTGTGGCATCTTTAGAAAACACCCAATCAGTTGAGTTAGCTGTATCTAAAAATTGTGACCCGCTTTTCTCCCTCATGACCCCCTTTCAGCGATCTCTATGGGTCATGTGGACCCCAGTGTAGAAAACCCTGGTAAGAACACTAGGCCAAATAATTGTAATCTCCAAATAAGAACTGTTTGGACTTACTGTTATGTTATTAAATACTCCAGTAGTTGTATTTGTGTACTTGAAATCACAGACAATAAATGCCAGTAGATAAGTGGACATCGGAACAGACCTCATAAAATATGAAGCTACTCTTCCATTTGGCAAATTTTCAGATCTTTCTTCAGGCATATTTGACAGAGCTGTGTAGTCTTTATCATGAACAATCACAGTTGAAAATGTAGCTTTCATCTCAGGTTCATCAAAACAGGGGAGGGCCTTTCTGGCATCTGTTGGCTCAAATTTTGTGGTCGCAAGACGTCTGCAACAATATATCATTAACCAGTTCAGTTGAGAACTTGCTGCAAGTTTACAAGTGAAAAGTGATGTAGGTACAGTCAAACCCCTCTTAGCGACAGTGGTGAATCCGGGGGAGGGGCCTGGGGGGTCTGGGGTCACCCCCTTATTTTTCGACCAAACTGAGGCCACAAGGGCCAAAAAAAGTTTTTTGGAGACCTCCTCCCCCCCTTACCCTTATCTCAAGGTCTGGATCCGGCACAAAGGGACGCTAATTTTTATAGTGTGGACTCCTGCCTAATAGCTCTGTCGGTCACAAAGATGCCAAACTTCATAAAATCCAAGCCCTCTATAATATAAACACCTCTGTTATGAGGTAGCCGACGAAAATAGCCACCTTTTCTTGCTCCTCGCTGCTAGGGACATTTCGCCAGGAGGGGCATCTGTGCCCCAGTGACAGAAATTCCATATAGATGACATAAAATCTGTCGGAATCTGGTCAGGAGCTCTGATTGGTTGACATGGTAGTTAAATTGTTTTTGCTACATTATTACGAATGACAGACGAAAGACAAATGGTCACAATTTTAAGATAAAATGTAAACGCAATGAAATCCGTGGAATATATTCTTCTTGAGAAGAAGCATTCAAGTTAGCTGGAGCTCATTGGAGAAGAAAACAAAACTTTGCCATAATCGACCAAGAGACACATAAAATCAAACAAATTTACATTATTTTGGAACCCCGTAACTACTGGATTAATTATGTAAACATTGATTTTCCTCTTACTGTGGAATTTCTGCCTGTAGCTTAGCCACAGACGTCTCTCCTGGCGAAACATCCCTAGCAGCAGAAGGCTGTTTTCACAGGCTGGTGATGTGGAAACTTGGTTCTGTCCCTTTGATGCAATAGCATTTGGCGGGTTGGACTTTAATATACAGTAGTCTGTTTGAAGCCTTAATTAAGAATGTGGGAGGAACCACAAAGAAAATTTTACTGCCAGCCCCTCTCCACTGCCTTGATACTTTTTGGAGCCTTTAACCTGTCCATTACCTGACTAAACTTTCATTCATGTTTCTTTTTAGTAGAGCTCCTACCCCATCATCTCCTGATGTCCTTGGATTTTGTTGGTACCTCCCTGTAATGCAGCACACTCTGATAATCCAGGTGTGGATGTATGAGTTGGGGTCCCTTGGGTATCCATGGACCCTCTTTCCTATCTATCTCAGTCCCCCTTCGGTTCCTCCGAATCACACCGCCCCCCACCCCACACCCATCTGTCACTGTGTTCTGCAAGAGTAATCGTGACAATGTCGGAATGCAGTGTGTAAAAGAGTAATCTCACACGGAAGCAAATACCTACCTTGTTTCATTGTTTTCATTCTCGTAGGTGCTTATGTACAGGCCATTTAGTTGACTTGAAAATGTGGAATTATAGGCCATATCCAGCACATACTGCCCAATTTCAAGGTCTTTCTCCAGCTCGAAAACAAAGAAATCATTTTTGGGGTATACGAAGACCCTCTTCAGTGCCAATTCATCGCCTGGGGAAGCTGTGTTCGGTTCTGCATCTACAGCACGCTTAAAAACTTTTGCTCGAGTCACATTCATGTCGTTGATGTGAATGAGTATGAAAGACATGTATGCTGATTTTGCAGTTACATCGATCAAGACGGAGACATTTCCTTTAAAAGTATTTTTCTCAAGGTCGGGATCTAGATAAAAGTCGTAGTGGATGGGAAGAATATTTTGCGGTAGCCTGACTTGATACCACGGCTCAGGTCCAGTTGGTTCAGTGGGCGCCATCGTTATCGATGTAGGCTCGTCGGTAGCTCTCACTTTCTCTCTTTCCTTTCTTTCCTCCAATGCATCTTTTCGTGCCTGCCTAGCGCTCAAAATTCCCGACAACACTCCAACAAAGATGATAAGAACGATCACAATAACAACCAGCACGATTGCTTTTGTTCGCGTGATTGTAAACACTTTGTTCGAATCTTTATGATCATCTCCACCGTCTGAGTCGGTTTTCATTGGTAGCTCTTCAGAAGACATGTTTCTGCCCCTTGCTTTTGGAATATTTCAAGAATAAACCAATCGTTAAATAGCTAAGCGTCTTATCACAGACGCTGCGCCAAGTTAAGCCAAGCGATTAAAACATGAACCCAGACACATGTAAAAATTTGTGTAAATACCGAAATTAACAAAACAATCACGTTGATGTCATCGGCCACCATTCTGGCCAATCAGAGAGGAATTTGTTAAAAGAGCGGGAAAGGAAAGTACTTGACCGCGGTCAAAAAAGAGAGAAAAAAAATTATAAAAGACAGGAAAACAGGTCCATCTCAGCTTTTCTAATATAACGCACGTCATTTTTCACTTAGTTTGATGACTGATAAATGAAAACTAGTGAACTACAATGTTCGAAAATAAAATAGGTGAAAACAGAGAGCCAATGCTGACGGTTGAAATACGGTTCGTCCAATCAAGAGTCAATTTTTTTATTTCCAATTTTACATTCAACAACAGAAAAGGTCAATCAACAATCTCGACTTCCTTTATCTGTTGAAAATTCTGCCAAAGCACAACCTTATTTTACGTTAAATATATCTTTTAATTAAATTAAATTTTAAGTTAAAGCGCTGGTTGAAGACACCCAACCCTATTTTTATGAGGGTACAATTTCGACAAGCGACAAGGCCTTGAAACTGCGACATATGTGAAAACAGGGGAAATGACGACAAAAGACACAAAGAAGGGTCGAAACTGCGACAGCGACGAGAAAAAAGCTACAGCGCAAATACAACAAACGACGAGTTTTGAATTCAGACTGAGGACATACGTACCCCCAACCCCCCTGTGACAGGGTCCCTGCACACGGATCTACAAGGGCGTCCTAAATTACCTTGTCAGATACCTTGTTAGTGTTGTTTTCTTAACAATACTGAATAGCCTGGTTAGAAGGACTTTGTTCATGAGAGTACAACCCAAAATTTTACTGCTCTAATGTCCAGCACATGGCATATACATAAAGATTTAATCGGGGAGTACCCCCAAAGGCAACCTCTACCCTGGGGGATCTTTCTTCTCCCCACCTCAGAGGAAAGGGGCGAGGGAAGAAAGAGTCCGAGATAACCCTAGCATGGAAACGATGTTACCACAATGTAACCCCTGCACTTCACCTTCGTTTTAATAGACCTATTCGGCTAACTCAATCTTGTACCCAATTAAAACCCTTTGGGAATAAAACGTTTTGTTTCAGGAATTTCCATATCATTTAAATGTGAATGCCACGTTCTAATGCAAATACAGTACACAAAGAATCTTAACCCTGCGAGATTTGAATTGGGTACAACATTGAGTTAGGGCCTGTTTACATGGAGTGGGGGACCCTGGTCTAGTGGGGTTGGTTTCTTTTGTTTTCACGTTCTGGGGGACACAAAACAAAAGAAACCTACCCCACTTCACTGGGGTCCCCCTCTCCATGTAAACAGGGTCTTAGCCAGATAGGTCTATTTGTTAGACCAACTAGTCTTGTTAAAAATAGTGTACAGCTGTTTTCAATAAAATAACCACAACCACTTTTACTGATATAGCAATGAGAAAATTTATTAATGGCATCCCTTGACAACAGAGAATAGCTTGCATGTTTCAACAGCCCATAACACGCTCAGCAAAGAAGCTATAATCTTTCCTAGTAACTAAACATACAGAAATTAATGCATAACAAAAATTTACAAAACCTTGTTTTATTATATACTGCATAATGAAGAGAAAAAACTGTGAACTTTTCTATGTTATCATTCGGTCATACATTACTTTACATACAATCGGACTCTCTCATTGTTATCAGTGTTAATGTTATTTTAATAGGTACTGTACAAAATATGAATTTCTGTGATAATAACTTTATTTACCCACCCCACCCACTCAAAGGCATTCTCATGCAAGAACTAAATTAAGGCCGAGTTGTTCCAAGACCCATTAGCTTTACTTCTGGGTTAACTGTAACCAAGGTATATGAGTTGTCAAGACAACTGCCTCTGGGTTAGTGTCAATTATCCTTTCAAACAACTTGGCCCAAATGTACAGTACAGTTCTCCTTACCCTCACAAATCTGCATGTATTTACCAAAAAACAAGTGAAAACTCACAGAGAAATTAATTTGCAACCTCAATCAATGACAGAATATACAACATATTCCTCCAAAATAATTAAATACACGTAATAAGGACACAGTGAAACACAAACTCGCTTAAATGATATAATTTTCACAAATTTAAAAAACTATATTGGCTTACTTATTACACACAGGAAAGAGTAAGGAGAATGAATAACTACTGAAATATTTGACAAGTTATCATAGACTAAAACTATTGAATTAGGGTGAACGTGCAGAACAGAACAGTTCTTAAAATTGTGTGACCTGCCTTACACATAAGAATTTTACCGAAAGGCCACTTTGAAAAATTTGGTTTGGGAAAAATTCAACTGAAGGATTCCTTAACAGTAATTATCATTTCTATAATAATGATGACAGAAAAAGATATGGTAAGTTGACTACATGTACTCTGATTTCCACAGAAGCAAAGCATATGATAGCTTGATGATCCTACACATCAACAAGTATTGTTATATTCCTAGACTTTCACTCAACTAAACAGTGACTGCCATTGGTTGATTCTTGGTCACGTGGCCTTGACTAAAATCAAATGTATCCTGATCATGAGACATTAAGCAATGTACCCCCCTCGGGATACATCGCAGCATGTGATCAAAGCATGGTGGAAAGTGGCGTGAAAGAAGACGGGAAATACACTGCCAGTTTTCTTTTTCATGAATGAACACAATAACCCAAACACAAAACCTCAAGCTAAAAAGGAATAATTTAATTATCCGAGAAAAGAAACAGCAGCTAGTGGAGGAAACAGATGCAGATAATATAAGGAAAGTACTTTGTAAATCATTCATTCAGTGGTTTTGAGCATTAAATGTGTCTTGTTATAAGTACCGAGTCAACTATTTTGGTCTGCAGGCCAGTTATTCTTTTGTTGCTGTTGAAGTGAGAGTCTAGAAATATAACAAAACACTTAATGTAAGGTCCCTCAGGAAACCAGTTAGTTTTGTTTTCCCTCAAGTCCTGATGTTTCTCAAGACAAAAATCTTGGGGAAACAAAACTAACTGTTTCCCTTGGGATCTGACATAAAGTGTATAATTATCATTATCAAATGTGACCTTCTTTGGGAAAACGTACACTAACGATATTTCGTTATCGTTAGAAAACTAACGGATAGCTAACGGATAGCTAACGGCTTTTCTAACGTTCTAACGGTTTGTCCAAACGTTCTAACGGTTTGTTCTGACGTTCTAACGATTTGTCCAAACGCTCTAACGATTTGTTCTAACGCTCTAACGGTTCGTTCTAACGCTCTAACGATTTGTTCTAACGCTCTAACAGTTGAATTGGTGGAAGTAATCGAGCGCTATTCCCTATTAAGCAATCTATTAACGGCTGGTTAGTTCATCTTGTTGTTATCAATGTATTGAGCGAAAGTTTTAAGTACAGCTGTCGATCGATAAACGGCTGAAAATTGAAAGCATCAAAATCACTAGTGATGTGATCAACGAGTAAAATAATAATCGAAATCGACTTGCTCTCGAAACGACTGCGCTTCAAAACAGGCCGTCCAATTTCTCCTGGAATGAAACTTCTACTGCATCGTATTGACAAGAACTACTGTTTGCAAACACGTATCTTGACTTGGGACTGTAATGTTTCCAAAAACTATATCAAGCAAGCCCCTCGATGTCTGATGAAAGTTTTTCAACAAGATGCCGTATCGGTTTCGTAAACAACTTTATGCAAATTTCGGTTGAAATTTGACGACACAAAGAACTGTTGTGTAGCAGAACGAAAAGTTGTTTTATTTCGTCTAAGTCTATCTTTTAAAAAGAAATTGCCACAAAACGTACCAAAAAAGGAGAAGGACATAGATACAACCTGAATAAATGATCTAAGAAATCTCCGAGTCAACTGAGTGTACCGTTCGTATCGAGATCGAAAACGGAACAATCTGATCAATAGTTGTAGATGCAAGAAAAATTTGCATATATCATGTGTAATTTCAATTAACCAACAATGGATCTTGCTTGCTTGCATCTTTTCATTTAAAAATACACACAACAGCAACGTTTCTAAAGGCAAAAAGACGGGAAGAAGGTCATGACTTTTATACCGAAGGTTTTCCTGCAACCATTCAATTCATTCGAGATCAATTAGCGGAAGTCTGCAGAGAAGCGGATTTCAAGACGTGTGCTTGTTTGTTTACTTCTTATCGTCGGTATCTTTTGCCTACAGCCGACGACCAAGCATTTTGATGTTAATTTTTCGTTTCAAAAGCGTAGAACGGGTAGGGAATTGTGTCGTTCGTTCACTGGACGTTGGGAAACGGGTTTGGCAAGAATCACTAGTTTCAGGTGCCCGATGCGGGCTCCTTGTTTATAATTTCGGTCGCCCGCGGGCGAATAAAATTAATCGTAGAAACCTCTGACGACAGGGCGCCCATAAGGCAGCGGCCTTGATCAGCAAAGCAATAGAATCGTCAGTTAACGCTTTAGTTTCCTGGACTAACGCTCTAACGGATACAACTAACGCTCTAACGGATATACATGAGTTGCTAACGAATTGACTAACACCTCTAACGGATACAACTAACGCTCTAACGGCTACGGATGAGTTGCTAACGAATTGCCTAACGCCTCTAACGATTTTCATTGAATCATCTAACGGATGACTAGCGGACAGCTAACGGTCTAACCGTTTAACGAAATATCGTTAGTGTACGTTTTCCCAAAGAAGGTCACAAATTTTCAAAAGTGGCTTATCCATAAACATTGATAAAGTGATGAAATACAAGTATTTTAAAGCCTGCTGCACGACCAGCAATCTTCTGTGCTTTTAAAAGAAAGCTGCACGAATGAAGACAAGCATTAATTTTAGTCTGATCAAGCTATGTACACCTGTTTTACCTTGCTCTGTAAAATAATATTGGTTCAAGCATGAGACATTTTAGCTAATTTTGTAATGATCATTACTAATAATAAAAGCACTCTACAAGCAATAATAGTAGAAGTTATTAGTGAGAAGGGGGAAAGAGGTACAAATGTACACAATGTACATATTGTTATTGCATCACAGCTGCAAAATGACAAGATAGGATTGATGTCTAAGTGACTCTGGGAAGTTCCAACATCACAGTACTACATGTACTACAGTGTATTTCGCAGGTATTCACCAGTTATGAATACCTTGACCACAGCACACTGCCTAACACTACCAAACGGCAAAAAGATTATTTAAGTTTTTCATCTACAGACAATAATAATTATTACTATTGTTTGCATTTGCAGATCACGACCTCTGAGTTTGCCATGCTGAGTTCCTTCAAGATGCAGCATTATACATATACATTTCATTGACAGCAAATGTCACAAATGCCACAGGGCAAAACATACGGGAAAGAGATTTGGGATATGATAGAGTTTTTCAAGTTAAAGTATAAACATAATTTGGTGACAGTCTTTTTAAACTTTGTGCTTGACTTTTCTTTCGTTTGCAACTTGTACCAATTTACAACTCCAATAATTATGTCTGCTTTAGATAATGGATTCATACAATTATTTATCATGAGCAATGTGCTCATGTTTTAACACTCTTTTCCTTGGTAACTGGCAAAGGTTAACAAAGCCAAGAACAAAAACAGGTCTCAGTGGCCACTACAGAGGCAAGAAATCACTTATTTGTGTATATTAATTTTAAACTGTCCTACATAAAACTTTTAATTTGACTCAAGATAATTTATTACCTGCATTGAATTGAGCCTGTATTACATGGTAGATCATCAAAAATTAGTCTGGAAGCGACAAATTTGAAAAGAAATGCTTGGGAAAAGTCGCAAATTGCACAGACATACTATTACTTTTACTACTGTTAACAGGGTCCACACAAAATACACAAAGTCTACAACTAAGTTACAACTCAAGCCCTGTGCAATTTACAGTGATTACAACACAAGAACAGTAAACATTCAACACCAGACAGCATTGTTTTACCCAAGCACTCCTGACTAACTTCTTTTATCTTAAATTTTCTGAATTTTTGAACCAACAACAACTGGATTGTCCTTTGATATCTTGGCCCTGCCATCAGCCTTGTAATCAAAGCTGCAGTCGTGTTTATCTGAATATCTATGAAGCCCACAGTACACATTTCCACATCTGCATTCAAATCCTGCAAAAAATTAGAAGTATCATCTAATAAAAAAAATTTCAAGCTCAGCAATTTTTAGAGGGTTACATGTACAAGCCAACTTTGAAATAGAATTATACAGCTTCAAGTAGCAGAGTTGCTTGAGTACAATTACAAATTTCTCCAGATTTTTATCATTATCATGTTACTGTGTAAATAAATGTCCATACACACGTAGCAATTGAGAAGCAGCAAGTCACCACTATGCAGCGGTTTTCCAGCACAAACAAAAAGTGTCTGTAACACTACCTGCTGGTTTTCCAGTGAAAGAAAGCAGCTCCCTTTATTAGCAAATTTCTGGAAAATTGCCATTTTCAAAACTGCCAGCGCCCTGGACACTTTTTCTTCAGAATAGCGAGTGGTGAAAAGGTTAAGGATTAGTATGGGGTCCAGGCAACTCTGGTGGCGGGGTGGGAAAAGGAAGGAGAGCTTGCTCCCCATTGACTGAGCCGTCAGATTTCCGCCAATCAGCGTGAAGCAGAAACAAGTGTGAATGTAAACAAACACTGAAACACGAGCCAAGCACAATGACATCATTACTAATGCATCTCCACCAATCTGCATTTCACTTTTTCGATACAGATATTCAAATTCCAGAGATGTAGCTGCAAGCTATCCTTCCTTTTCCCGCCCTGCTGCCAGAACGCCCCAGAAAGCTTGCTTGCAGGCTATTTCAGATGCTGAAAAAGCTTGTTTCCAGCGTAATATTGAGCTCTTGACGTGGAACTATCATTTTGCAAATTGATTTCATGAAAATAAGTGAGGTTTCAGACTTAGAAGCCACTCCAAAAAGCATTTCCTCGCATTTGAAAACGTGGTCATCTTCACCTAGGGTAAACATGTGCCACTGAGAGAAGCGAAGCTTGCTACAGCCATCATAAAAAGCAATCGGTAAAAACCGGCCGATTTTGTGGTTATTTTCAAGGCAAATTTCGCTAGAAATCGATCGGTTTTGCGCTGATCAGACCAGCCTTTTTAACATTTTTCTAACAGAGGTCATCATTTGCTCTTTCAACCACAATACGCTCCAGAAATGAACCAATGGCAAAGCCTTTAACATCATGGCTAGTGCCCAGTTTTTTGCAACATAATCTGTTTGCACGTTTCAGTGAAGAAGTTCAAAGATAAATTTGCAAGTTTACGGCAAGTAAATAGCCCCTATAGCTGAAATAAGTTTCAAATATGTTGTACAGACATTTATTTGACAAGATTTCTACTGAATTTTGCAGTATTTTTCGTGTTTTTGTGAATTTCACGGCTCCGCGACCGCGCGAAGAATCAGAAGCCCTGTCTTAGATTTCTGTCAAAAATAGCAGTAGAGCGTGACTGAAACGTAACTTTGGAATGAACTTTAAAGGTGCGATAAAATATACTTTCCACGTTCTGTTTCAGCTTGCAATTTCTGTACTGAAATAAATCTCTTCGTGTGTGCTTCCTTTCGAGTTTTTTCCCTAAATTTTGAAGGGGACAAATTGTCCCCTTGGCCGTTTTTTAAAGGGACAATTCTAATTGCAGTGCGGGATTGGCGCAATGGCGCGGCCTGGCTCAAACCCTGGGGCCCTAAGCATGGTTTTACCGAATTGTCACTATGATGACGCCCTAATTCAATCTGGCATCACTGCCCTTTCCCAGAGAAGGGAGGAAGCTTACATAAATTTTATCAAGCATGACTGCCTGTCGTCTCCGGTACTCAAGCCACTAATTACTTGTGCGTCAATTGACAGGCCATACTGCCTCCGTTCAGGCAAACGTGTTCCGGTGCGCCTTGTCCCCAAGACAAAGCGGTTCGCAGATTTCTGCACCATTAAGTTTCAAAACCAGTTGTAATCCTGTGCTCTGTTATTTTTTCTCTGTTATGTTGTGCTTTTAATCATAGTTACTTAATTAGCTATTTGATTGTTTTTGTATTGTATTGTCTTCTGTTATTGTCACTTCAGGACCTTCCTTGTTATTCAGCCTTTAGGCTGCGAGAGGGATATCAATAAACTATTACTATATTACTATTATTATTAGTAACATGTAAGACATACTAGTATAGGTAATGACAACAGCACCTCGTGCAGCTGCTGGTCACTCAAACTTCACAATCAAATTACTGTTTATATTCTCATCGCACGCTGCCTTTGCCTTGCATGTTTTCATTACAGACATGTGGTACTTACCAGTTAATCCTACTTTTTTACGACACATAAAACATCTATTTCTTTTGGATTTAGCTTTATCCTTTGTTTCGGCTGATGTTCCAGCCTCAGCTTCAGCCTCAGGTTGCCTTAAACTGTCACTATCCCCTGACACACTGCTGGTTGATGAAGAAGGACTGACTTCGGCAGCTCCAGCTATATCCTCACTTGCAGGCAGGTGAGAACTACATGGTTCTTCAGATAACCCTACAATGATACAGATAAAATAATACAGTTATAATAAATAAAGTAAAAAAACGAAAACGAACATGATGAATTTGCCAAGCTCAAAAGGCTGAGCTAAAATGCATGTATTTTCACAGCCATGACACAACATAAAATGACAAAACCAAAATGTACAAGTACAGTAAAACATACAGAGCCGTGCTCTTGCAGCTCTCACTTGCCCCTGGCACCTTACTTTTGCCTGTGGGCTCCTAGGAACACTGGATTTCACAGGTTCAGAGCACCGGGCTCCCTTCAATTTCACTTAGAGCACAGCCTTGACATACTTAAGATATGAATCTTGTACATAATTGTTACTAATGTGTTTGAAAGTACTAGCAAGGTAGTTAAACTTGGGTTCTAGCAACAGTGTGATAAAAAGTTTTCTGCCAATAGCACATGATTTGGCAAAAAGTTCCATATCTTGGCAGCAATGCAGCAAGTAGACTTCAGCCCATGTGTAGTTGTTTTGACTTTAGGCAATGTTAAAGATAACCCCTCATGCGATACTAACCAGGTATCTCATTAAAATTAATAGCATTATTCTAAACAACAAGTGTAACAAATGTTTCATTTTAAGCAAAACCTGTAAAATTATCTAGTACATAAAATGTCGCTCTTCAAAATTGCCACTTCCAGGGGTATGTTCTTTAATTAAAAACAATATTGCTCTTTCCTACAATACAGTGTACAGTTCACAGGCAGTAGTGGGTCCAGTACTGATATACCAGTTGCTGCTGCACTGCATTTGCTTAACACTGTATTGCTGTTATGACGACTACATTAATGGAAAGTTATGCTATAAAACCAAGCCCTAGGATTTCAAATCCCATGGAAAACAATTTTTTGGTTCCGCATCCAGAGATCGTGTGAACTATCTGCAAAAAATTTTTTTGCTCCATGAAAATTCTAGGAAACCCAACTCCTAGATGTTTTCAACTTTTCAAATCATAAATACAATGTACTTTGGGAACGATTCAATATGGCAGACAATAGAAAACTGATAGGTGCTAAACCTTTTAGTTTCGTATATACAGTGTCAGCCAAGTCAAAACTAAAGAATTACTCTACTAGTCAAGAATCTGAGTGAAAAAATAGTGTATTACTGTAAATTGATCCCTAAGGCTAAAAATAATTATCACTGGGAAACCATTTTTTGATTCTGTTATTTTAAGACCACGGTAACAGCATCATACCAGGAACTTTCATTACAGTAAAATCCTAAGGCTTGGTAAACATAATTGCAAAAATACCACCTCCTGTTAGAATAATTTCATAGAAATATAAGCCATTGACAATAAAATGCCAAATCACTTGAACCTTCCATTTTTAATGTAGTGACAACCTATGTAGAATCATCAATATCTAAAATGTTAATTCATTTTGACAGAATTCATGTTAACTTATTTTAAGAATGTGTCAGGCCCTTGAGAGGTATAGCTGTAACTATCATACTCTACACTGTGGTTCAAACTTCAAGTTTCTGTCTGAAAATTCTAAAGCAATGAAGAAATTCATTTTTTAGACCTGTGTTAAATAAATTAAAAAGAGGGTAATAACACCTTCGACATTTTTCAGTTTTGAACAAGATGATTGTCAGACAGCCACAATACTGAACTTTTTTGGCTGTGTTTGAAGAACTCTTTTTGTAAATACAGTGTAATCCTACATGTACATTATATTTATTCCCATGGTACTTTTCTACATTATGGTCACAACCAGTGAAAAAAGTGGATTTGACTTTCAAGCAAGCGGATGAATGCTGATTACTACACTGTAAGCATTAGCTTCCTCTACTGTTATTCATTACCAAATTAATGAATGAAAGAATATTAATGACTAACTTATTTAAAGCCAATCCAAAAAATGCTAACCTGTTGACGGACTTGACACCATGGATGCAGGACTGGTGGTTGGTGAGGACTGCTTTCGCCGTAAAGCATCTTTAAAACACTTGGAACACATACCATCACTCGAGGAACTGCCGTAAAAACCACATCCCATACGACACAAAGATGGTTGTTGTGTATCGTCAGAGCCTCTTTCCATAACACTTTTGTCAACAACAACAAAAAAGTCTTATCAGTTTTCAGAATAGCATCACACAACAATAAATACAGATGTACATGGTTGTAACATTGGAAAAATGAAAGTGTTGCATTAACCTTGCCCTTAGGCACATTAATCATATTGACAACAGGGAATTGCACAGAAAAGACAAGTACTCATAGGGGAAAAGAGCCACAAAAATTCAAAAACTACAAACTAAAGCTGTAACTAAAATTGTAAGAGGAAGAAAGCAGTAAGAGACTCTTTCACCCACTGAATAATGAACATGCGAAATTCCATACTTAGCAGTTTTAAAACAGTGAACTTATGTATGTGTCTGAAGCTTTTTGGGGATTAAAGTGACCCTCTTGTGATAATAATTCTTTGTCACTTGGCATCCTTTCTTGCAATTTAATTCTGGTACATTCTGTACTCTTGTTAAAGAGGTAACAGGAAATAAATCATGGTGCAAGGACCAAAATACTACATCAAACACCGTAGCCCTGGCATACAGTACTTTTATGTACAGTAGATGTATATGTAAGAATAAGAAAAACTGACCACTGCTAAAAAATTTAGTTATGTCCACAGCTAGAGGAGTTTATCAATCTTGTGAGCAACTGGCATAACTTGTCAGTGTTTGTTGGTTTTAAGTTCTTGCCTCCGTGCCAGGGAAATGCTAAAAATGAACATGTATCAGATCTGATATTTTGGGCTCTGCACCTTAATCTGTTAACCACTTGGTGTGCAAAAAATGGTAAATACTCTTTATGCACTGCTGTGCATTTTGTTTTTACATACTTCAATTGTACGTTAAGTGCAAGATGGTTACTTTGTTTAGTCAATTTCCCTCCGAGATCTACAAAAGTAACTACTGAAGACAGTAAAATTAATGTGATCCTCCCAGTTAAACATCTAAGAGACTTACAGTAGTTTCTTGATTAATAGTGTTTGGTAGCCACCATAAGGTGTTTTGTCTGTACTCAGTAATTATGCACAGCCCAACATCCAATAAAAGTAAAAAATTGCAACCGGGTTAAGACTGCTTGAGTTTCTAAAAGACATGACATGCTGATATTTTATTGTTGATACTGGCAGAAAAACGCTTTACAATAAAGAGTATACAACCAGACCAATGAGACTTTCTAGATTTATACAATGTAGATAAGAACATTTGTTTGTTCAAAATGCTCTAGAGGAGCCCTCTAGCATTCCAGTCACTTCAGGGCACTTACATAAAACTTAAACTATGCAGACTCATTTTCTGAAAAATCTCTTAACAAAATGTGGCAACATAAACACTGCTGTTTCATTATCTTATGTCCTCACTGAGGGAAGAAAGAAAGCATGCAGCTTGTCAACGCACATCCTCAGAGTATGCTTTGGCATTCTTTGTTGTTATGAAACAGTCACTGACTGATTATACAACTGTTGTGCGAACAATTAACAAGAAAGCACTTGGGTCTCATCTCCTCATGGTAAACATTTTTTTGTATACTTTAGGCATTGCAATGTTCCTCCAGTTCAGAGTTTTTGACAAATCTAACCATATTTAAGTTTTCCACAGCAAATGGTTTTATCCCACTTTCATGAAAGTGAAGCTTTCCTGACAAGATTATACAACGCTTGGCATAAACGCGATTGATACTTAACTACTCGTTCACAGTGCAAAAGACTTTGTAACGAAAGAACAATTTCCTACAGTGAACAAAAATTACTTTAGCCTGAAAATACCTACGCACTTGTATTTTCGGAAGCAATCAAAATAAATTATTTTACTTTTGAATGAAATGTTCGACAAGAAAGTTCAAGAAATGTATTTATATATGCAATGTAAATTACGTTGGTCAAAGTTGAAGTTCTTACATACAAAAAGGTTTGAACAGAAAATAGGAAAACAGGGTAGAAAGAAATATTATGTAACAGCTATTCGCTCAAAGAAATATTTTGGCATTAAAAGGTTGAAAGGTTCGATCTGCCAGGGAGAGAGAGAGAGAAAGAGAAATTATTCGTAGAATTTTGTAATATAGCTGTTTATTGCGTGAGTCTATTCACAAGAGATTTCAGAATTGTACAATTTCTCGTCAAAACAGAATACTTGGAAGTAATTGAGGGGAAAGCAACAACGAAACTACACATTCATTAGAAGATCAAACTAAAAGCTAAAACTCTGATGATTTCACTTTTCGCCTAACACAGAATATCACGAAGTTCACTGAGACCAGTGAGCTAGAAAATTTTTCGTGGAAATGATATGTCGTTCAAGTCGCTTTTAAGCAACAAAGGCAAGCGTCCTAAATACAGGCATAGCAAGAGTTTTAGGCCACTAAAAAAATACCTTAGCAGAAATAACATTGACAGTTTTTACGCAGACCGACTTCAAATGGTCGCCATGTTTGTCCAACATTAATAATTTCGTGCTCCCTTAACGGGTCGAATATGACGCGAATTACGAAGCCACAATTTCTAGAGTTTAGTTTCCCAGCCACCAATATTTCTCAAGAAGATTTCATACAAAATGCTTTAAACAACGTTTAATAGCTTTTAAGTTACGAAGAAACTACAAACGAACAACACAGTAATGAAATAAAACCTATACAAACACACGAACGTCCTGGCTTCACCACACATTACGAAAGAGAAAGACGCGAAACTAAATCGGTGTAGGCGAATTTCACCCGACCTAAGCTTATGATTTTACGTCTGCTCCTTTAACTTTACATTTCAAGGGGTAGTAAATAACAAATTGAAACTGAAAAGTGCAGTTTAAGCAGTTATTCCGTCGTTTCTTTGAACTGATTGTTCCCGTTTATTGCGTTTTATGAGGCAGGTTCCGTCCATCGGGCATGACTCGACTGGAGGAAGATGCCCTGTGGTTTGAAAGAAATGCTCTTTACCTCCACTAGTTTAGCCTACTTCTCCGAGTTTATACAAAACAAAAAAATGTGGTTTACAATTTATGTATCTTGTGTTTGGTCAAAACGGAGGTAAAAGAATGAAAATGAAACAAAGATCTTGGAGAATTATGTTCGCCAGCTCGAATCGCTTGGCAGCTTCAAAAGCCGTGCTAGTCACGCGTGGTCTAGGGAGGGCCGACATAATTCACCTTTGAACATTATATTGCAGAATTCTACAGCCATTTGAACGTCTTGGATGTCCGAAAATCACATCTTCTCACATTTTAGACGGATCGTTTTTGTAAGAAGGTTGCTATCACAGACTGCTGACAACAAAAGCCAAACAAATATGGTTCACCTTTCTGGCAGCGCCCAATGTGAATTTTGCATCTTTCGTGCCACATGTTTGTTACTAACCGTAGTTAAACACTATATACTGCCATGGTAGACTATACTCACCAAAATTTCGACGAAACACGCCACGAATAATGCTTCGACCACGAAACGATGCTCTCGGTACTATTTTCTCTCCCGGAAAATGAAGCGATTTCCTTTTGTTATGGTCTCTGTGACGTCACATTAATTCAGCTCAAATGTCAATCAACTGCATTTAGCATCATGTGATTGGATGACTCGTCAAAAAGCCCTCTATACTAAAACCATGGGGTGACTGAAAGTTGCCCCGCAAAATAGGCCAAGGATACAAATTGCATATCGTTTATAAATCCAGACTTTTCGAATACATTTGTGAAACTTCAAAATCAAATTTCGTTTTATTCCTCGCCTTATTTGAGTTTAATTGGAATACATCCTTCTTTTGTGGACTTTATTTGGGGTCTCTTGAGACGACCGAAGCAAAATAACAACTGACGAAAATACTGGCAATCATACTTTGGATTAACACGTCACGGCCGTCATGGAGGAAGTCACGATTACAAATTGCATGCGCCCGCGAAGGCATCGATAAACAACACGAGTTTCGTCATCCGATCTATTTCTATGACATCATAAATTACTGGAAGCCCGGTTATTGCACTTAAAATATTGAAACAAGTTCACCGGCGATTCTTAATATGCAGCAGTACGTGATTTTTGTTATTGAAAGTATCAAGAAGGTAGAAAGGATAGATGGCTACTAAAATTGAACTAAAAACTATGTATTAAATATAAAAAGAAAAAGAAATGGAATATGGAATATATTTATAGAAAACAAAAACAGAGCGACGGTGATTCGTAAATATAGGCTGTTAATACAGTAGAAATATATATATATATATTTTTCGTCATCCCACCCAAAAGGTTACCTGGAAAAATATACATCCATAAAAGTGTCTTTTTTTGTTACTACACCCGTTAGCCTCGCCGGGAACTGGAGATTAATTTATTCAATATTTTACTCTTGTTAAACTACAGACTCGTCGTCAGATATGTTATGGAGTCTGTTTTTGTTATGGTAGATTATCAGAAGTTATCAGATGGCTGTTTCGTGGCAGTTAATACATGAAGTTTTTTTATGGTCAGGCGAGCTAGCGAGCCGTTACGGCGTACACGAAGGCGGAAGTCCCGCTTAAACGTGTGGTGACCTGGGAACCTTGACTTCGTCTTGTTAATTAAATGTGCGCACGTGCTTAGTTCCTTGGGAAAATGTTCCTTTTAAAAAACCTGGGATCAATTTAGGTTTCTGGGAAACTGCCCACCTACCCCTCCCCTAAGCTAACTATAACACTTACTTCTCACTTAGGGCAAAATGATGGCTTAGGGGAGGGATAGGTGGGCAGCTTCTCAGAAACCTAAATTCATGATCCGAAACCTGTCCGTCTTACAGGGTGTCAACTTTTCAATGGGAGTAGAATAAGGCAAGGACCAACTCTAGGTCTTGTGTTTGCCTTACGGGGAACTCATGGAGTGTCCGTTAAACCTTTAAAGTACATTATCAACATATAAACTCTCCACACTGATCGTTATGCATTGCCCTGAGGAATTATTTGAGAGAATTGGATAAAAGATCTAAGCATTCTCCCTTTGGTGATAATTTTATTAATTCCTACCTCCCAATCGTAGCGCCCGGCTTGGAGAAACCACTGCTCGGCAAGGTCATTACCAAAGCGGAAAGGCCCTGTTTGTACGTTTGCCTGACTAATCTCGTATGTACAGCCACTCCAGTCGAGACAAATGTCATTTGAAGTGTGATAGAAGAATGTAAATATTGTACAAGAAAGACACTAAACAGAAGGTGGATGACTGCATTTATTCTACGACTTCTATTGTCATGATCAATATTACCTCTTAGAAATGAACAGCCCTCGAGCCCTGCTTCCGGTAGCATTTTCCTGTTACTTCAGTTCGTACTTCCATGTATATAGAAATTTTTCTCCTTCCCACCTTCCTTTGCGCGAACATTTTCATCGAGAGAGAGAGAGAGACGTCTTTGTATGAGGCAGCTCCTGAACTGTGTTAAACAGTCACCTTTGGAAATGGCCAATTGCGCTTTTCAAATAAAGGTTCTAGAGATGATTACAATGAAAATTACTGGATAGCATATTAATACAGTTTCAGTCAATTCAGAGACTATAAGTGGACGAGAAGTGTAGTTTAGTACCAGTATCCGCATTTCGAGGAAATGACTTGAAGTGGGTTGAATATATATTATGTATATAAAGCATGGTTTCCGTTAAACTTCACGTTCGTTACTGCTCATCGTGATCAAAAAAGAGAAAATTCAAGAGCAGTCCAAAGCTACTAAGGTTTATTCGGCCGTGCTAAGAAGTGAAAGTTTACTTAACGAGCCCAAACTGATAGGGAACATCGCCATACATGATAATAATAATAATAATAATGAAAGACTGAGTGAATGAGAGAATGTCAGGGTACTCACCCACCGTAGCTATACAAGCGCCGAGAACCTTCGTTTCTCATCATATACGGTGAGCTGTTTTATGGAGGTGGCGCAGGATAGCGTGGTGGGTCGGTCTTTTACTTGCTCAGCACGGTAACCGGGCAGGTATTCGTGGCTCAGTAAGTTCTCAAAGCGTTCTCATTACTCAGCACCGAGGGCACTTGAATGGCGTCAGCCAATTTTTTCCTCGGAAGGTTGTAAATGCTCTATAGGAGGGGTTCATTCAAAAACCTAACGTGTCGCTTAAAAAAAGTGTGGCTTAAAAATGTGAACATACATATATGTTAGAGAGGTTTAGAATCAAGTTTACAGAAAACGGTAATCGCCAATTGTACCACATGACCCATTGCCTGTTAACGAATCTAGAAATTTTTGCAGGGGCGTAGCTAAGATTTTTCAAAGGGAAATCATACTCCCTTAAGCCCAGCGTACTTAGCAGATTGGCACGTCGACAACAACGCCGTGTTTTACTAAAGTGACATTTTTGTTTTCGGATGGGCAGTGAGCGTGGGGGGAGGGACAAGCCTACAAAATAGCTGCATTGATTAATTAAGTTCCGCTTAGCATAAAGTACTCTACTTTAGTTACGAACAAGAACATGGTCCACCGAGATGTTCGGTCCTGCAAATGGAGTAAGCAACAATCTAGCACTGGAAAAGATTTATTGCATGCTGATTTTTCGGATTCACGCGTTTAGGCAACCTGAATTACAGGGACATAAAACAATTATCACAAAAACGGGAGGGGGGGTCAGGGGGTCACGGGCACCCCAGGACCACCCCCTAGTTACGCCCCTGTTTTTCAAACCGCGTGATTCGTGTGAACGGGGCCCTTAACCCAAACTCTGAAGAGCGGTTTCAACAAGATATGGTTTCGGTGAGCGATTCACTGGTTTCGTGTGGACGAAAGGCGGATTCGTGCAAAAATTTACGCGGTTTCAACAATGTCCGGATTCCTAAAACGGGGTCCTTGTTCTCCCTTAACTTGTCGTTCACTGCTCATTTTAACTAGACAGAAAATAACAGTTTCATGTCAAGTTCATCCATAAGAACCACTTGTTGTAGATTTTATCTGTCGACTTCCTAATTTGAAATATGGCCTACTTGAATGTGACGCCGCAATTTGGAGTGTATTCTTTCACTCGACGTTAAGCTTAGGAGAACACTGAGAAAATCATCGAAATCGAATTGTACGGATAATTTAACTAAGGCACCAAGAATTTACTTACTTTTAAGCTTAATATACAACAACCATTTATTATGTATGAGTTTAAAGGTTACAAATAGAAAATTTTTCACAATTTTAGAATAACTCATGCTACTGTGTTACTCATGCTACTTTTTCACAATTTTCGAATATCTCATGCTACTGGGTTAGAAGCATGCTTCTGACTGTGTATACCTGTCTTTCTCGCTTAGCCATATGGAACTTATGAAAACGTTTTGAATAGTTTATTTACTTACAATTTCACAAATTTACTTGCGACGTGGCCATTTTTTTTACCCCAGTGAGTAAATTCATTTGTCGGTTTGTTCGCTGTTCTGTGGTTTTGTACTTTGTATACTAAAACCCCATCAACTTGCGCCGAAAATACGAGCGCGGTCAACAAGCACTGATAGACAATCACATTCTCTTCCCCAGAACCACTCGGCTTCATTTGTAACGAGACCAAGTGACCAAAAGAAAAACGGGGAGGAGAATGATAATCAGGTCATCAGAAAATAAGTTACACTGCACTTGCGCGAGAACAACAGTTATGACAACAGCTTCAATATTTCGTGAACAGAAGAAATGCTGTGATTTTTGACAGGGATATAAAACCATTTTAATTGCGGACCATTTGCGGGAGATTAGACACTAGGTTTGAACGAGCGCAGGCGGGCCTGGTTTTGTATATTTCACAATTTTCCCATTTAGCACCTCGCACCCTCTATATTAGACTGATCTCTACGAGTCTTTTCCAAACTTCTTCTTTCTGACATATACATTCGATTTTTAGGCCATGGGGCGCGAGTGTTTGTTATGACAAGGCCGAGATATGGATATGGTCAAAACAGTTCATCAAGTTGAGACTCTGGTCGACGGGGCGGCTTCTCAAACTCAAAGTCAGTACTCCATGTTTCTCTCTTGGAGGACTTGATACTCTGTAAAACAGAACGAGGCAAAACGTTAAGCGTGCGAGTGTACTCGTTCGCAAGGTAAAATTAGCCACTACTGTTTAAGAGAAAATCTAGAGTAATTTTAATACGATTCAGAAAATCATCTCCACTGTATTCTATGATTTGTTGCACTCACTACTAGCTAAAAGAATCAGATTCCCTAATTTACAACAATTGAGCTCGCGATTCATTCGCTTTGCCGCTTCGTGTGTTTGCTGACCAACCAAAAGCAGTGCACGTTTACCTCAGTTCCTTAACCACGCAAAAGCTTGAGGAGAGACTGTTTGGCTGAGATATCTGGTATTAGTAAAATCCAACTAGTGGTCTATTATCAATGATACGTTACGATTGGTTGAGCTACTACTAGGCTATATGTTATAGCCCACTAGTAGCGAAAGCGCCGGCTTTTTGGCGGCAAAGAAAGGATTAAAGTCTAGCTTTAACCAGCTAAAGTTGTTCTGTCTCGATATTTTTGACCAGCTTGTTGGATGTTACTAAAACAATTATTCCTCTCGCCCTCATGGCCTCTGAGTCAATAGCTATTGACTCAGAGCCCATTCGGGCTCGAGGAAGAATTGTTAAATAACATTGCGAGACGTAAAAGAAACCTCACGTAACGAAACGGCTTTCCACGCAAGGTAGTCGGAGAACCTGATATCGTACACTAGAGATGAGCTCCAAACAGAAGCTTAACGCATGAAAATTCAGTAATTGTCAAACTCAGAAACCGTGAACACCTGAAAAATTTCAGGAATGTTGATTGTGTTGTGGCCAATCACAATAAAGTTCAAGATACGCAAGCAAACCTCAAAACCACAAACTAATTACCGTTGCTGTTTGCGGTTTAGTTATCTCGCACCTTATTTGCTTATTTCTCCCAACACAATAAGGTTCCATAAATATTTCTGGTGTTGAAGGTTTTGTGAGTTTCACAGTAATGTAAGAAACACTTACAGATTTTCGCTTGCTGGAATCACCTCCTTTACCTGAGGTAGCCCACAGGTCAGCAACTACACGAGAGAGAGTGAAAAGCACAAATAAACAAAAAACATTTGGATAATAAAACATCATACAGGTGAGGAACCAGATGATCATTCACTATATGGAAAGCTCTTTAAGGCAGGACATTCACGGACTGGAATACAGCTTTTTAATATAGTGTTGTTCATAGTTGTAGTTATGGTTGTGTAGTTACAGTCTGAGATCTTTAAATAGCTGATGATTTGCCCGTGATTAAACAAAGTTTATCTTTTACAGCGTGGACGCTCTTGATTTGCACGCGCATTCGCCATCGGGTCTTCTTGCGTTCGCTCTGAGAGGCAATAAAGAAAACGTAAGGAAGATACGCCGTCTCCTGGATAAAGCTCCTCTCTTGCTCGTAGTCAAATTCGAAATTACTTATAGACTGCCTCTTACCCTGGAGAAGCGGCTAAGCTATCGGTACGGCATTTCATATGCCAATACTTGGGAAAATACGGCTCCGAATTGGTACGCAGACGAGACAATTATGTTCCCCATATTCAAACCGGTAGGCGGAAACCGTTTATCTTAAGGTATAGGTAGACTAAGGAAGACAGTACATAGGTACAAGATGTAAACACACGGCGGTGTAAAATGAAATACACGGCAATCATGAGATTGCCAGGAAAGGAAAAGGGTGAGGAATCAGTTCAGAGCCTGCATAACAGAAGTGCTCATACACCAACCTGAATCGCGAGAGTCTTTTCTGGTTTGTTGTCCTTTTCTGGATTTCAGTTTTGATAGCGAGGAAACAACTATGTCATCATCATCATCATCGTCATCGTCATCTTCACTTTCGCGAACCTTAGCCTGCGTTTTCCGGGGGGACTTTTTACTACTGGATCCTTTATTTGAAGAAGTCGAAGAGAAAAAGTTGTCCAGGCTGTTAACTAGAGAATCACGCTGAGACGACGCTGCAATTAACAGAAAAACGTTTCTTAGCCTCAAAGTTAGGATCATAACCTTCTTTGTAGAGAACGTTAAATTTTATAGTTCTGGGTCCTGTTCATGAAAGCCCGATTAGCACTAACTTAGGATTAAAATTTTGCCCCACTTTTTGTATTTACCTTCTATGCATTGCTTGGAATAACATTTTCTGTTATCATGATTGTATCTCAGAGTGAAGGCTAAACAGTATTTTGTAAGCTTGAGTTACATGTTCGAAGACAAGAAAACCGTAATTAAAATTTGGCTTAATCTTGGGTTAAACTTAACCATCTTTCGAGCAATTGGGCCCTGCACTAAATTCAACTTCAGTGTAGCTTCCCCTTGAGGGCTAAGGCTATTAAATTATCACGAAAACGGACGAATTTTCGAGCGGCTGATTGGGTATGGGTATTTACAAAGACACGCCCCAACTTTGTAACGGCGCTTGACATAAAGAGATATTAAAACCATATTGCTTGAGAAATAAGACCACGACCAACTCGCGAGTTCTAAAGTTTTAATGCAGTGAAACTCTTGAAACCGGGTTCATATAAGACCATATGACAGTTCGAGGTATACATATTTGTCCTTTTTCTTGCACAGCTCTGAGTTCTCTCTATATTCCCCTCAGTGTTTCACCCGTAGTTGAAATAAAATCGCTCTCGAATAAGCACCGCACCTTTAACAGGGAAAATGAAATAAGCACCGTTGCGCTTAATCGATCATTTACGGTAGGTAAGCAAAAGCCAGTAAGGCAAGTCAACACACCAACCACTTACAAAATATAAAAGTAAAAATTACATGCAACAATATGTAGAAAATAGAATAAATATTAACTATACAAATTTAGAAATTCTTATTTAGCTACTGAACTAAGGCAATTCTTAGATTCGGCAAGAGACGTAATGTGAGACATATCAGGGAGGAGCTGATTCCTGTCTCAAGCAGTCCTTAGGAAAAAAGAAAACTTGAACACATCTTTCTTACAGTGAGGCTCAAGAAGCTTAAGCCTGTGGCTACTCCTCGCACTGGTCTGATTGCTAAAATTTGAAAAATGGTTAATCTTAACGTCAAGTTAAGAGATTAAGAGTAAAGAGTAGTACTTTGGGCGGTTAAAGAACCTCCGATGGAAGTGAATTTTTCAACGCCCTAAAAGGAGCTCCATGTAACTCCTGGAAAATGAAAATTTGCCATTTCTGTAAATAATACAATTTTCAATGTAAAAACTTCACTGCAGTCAATTCCTGCGTGGGTCTATTTAAGTTATCTTATGAATCAAAAGACATGTCCTTACATGCACTGGGAGATGATCTCCGAGTGAGACTGGGACGGCCGCCTTTCTTCCCATCACCACTAACATTTTTGGTCTTTTTTCCAGTCATGATTACGTCATCTTCACCGCTATCTTCTTCTGAGCCCGTAATCATCCTAGACCGTCCTGAAGCTGAAGCTCTTGGGCTGTCCTTGTCCTTGTCACGGCTCCCACTCCGAGTTAAACTGGTTTTTTTTCCACTTAATGGCCTCTTTGATGAGGAAAGTCCTGGTCTGGAAGCGTTTTCCTCTTGTTCTTTTTCAGAATCTTCGAAATCTCTATTAACTGACAAGTGACCTGACGCTCGCGAAAGACCAGGCCTACTTTCGAATGTTCTTGTCCTGTCGTCACTCGAAGCAGGACGGCTGATCCCTCGGGATGATCGGGTCAACCCGGGCCTGCTTTCGGCAGTTTTGACGCTGTCTTCATTCGTAGGAGGTGGGCTTATCCCTCGGGATGATCGGGACAACCCAGGCCTGCTTTCGACAGTTTTAAAGTTGTCCTCGCTCGTAAGAGGTGGGTTTATCCCTCGGGATGATCGGGATAACCCAGGCCCGTTTTCCTTGCTCGGACCCGACAGGGTGATATCTCGGTTTGATCGTGAAAGAGAAGGCCGTTGTCGGTTCAGGCCTGTATCCAGTGATCGTCTCGGCCCTGTAACAACCGCATCGTCATCATCATCATCACTGTCAACTATCTCGAAGCCTTTTTTCTTCCGTTGTTGTTCAGTTACATCGTGCGCTGACTCGTTTCGCGTCCTACCATATCGGTTTTCATTCAGTCTGGAGTCTTCATCCTCGCTATGTTCAGAAATGTTTGAAAACCTTGGAGCTGAGATAACACGCCTAGACCCTGGGGGAAGAAAAAAAGGTGAAACACTGAAAAGACCAGTTTGCACTACAACAAACGTTTGAGTACTATAGTGGCTGAGGACGGGTTACGCCCCTCCCCCCCAAAAACGTGACTTTCCAGCGGCCCCCCCCCCCTCAAAAAAGAAAAATTATTCTGTAGCCAAAATTGGAAGGGCCGGCAGGGGGTACCCGTAACAAGTCCTTATCTCGTGTAAACGGACTTGGTCTAAAAACTAGAGCTCCCACTCCAAACTTATTGTTCCTTACAATGTATTACACACAACATAACATGAATTTAAACTAAGTTACCAAGATACTAGAATGAAATGGAATACGGAAAAAGATAAAAACAAAGAAAGATGAGAAAGAGGTTTCTGCTTTAATAATCATGCCCAACTAATAAAGATTTTTGTTTGAAAAAGCAAAGAAAGAAGATGTGCACAATTGTTAGTATTTGTTTCTCGTTAGAAGAAAGAACTCTGCCAAGTTCATATGCTGAAGAATATTAAGAGGGAAGTTTGTTAGACTGATTCGCTTTCCATAAGTTGGTTACTGATCAGTGTTAAATGTTGGCGGTGATTGGTCTTCATGCTGCAATCTTCCACTGATTAAACATACCCTCTGTTTTACTGTTTTTTTCGTTGCTATCTCCAGTTTCACTCTTCGTTGCCTCTTCAGCGGCGTGTTTCTTTCCGCGGTATGCTCTCGTCTTCTCTGCAATCACATCCTTTTTATTAACAGCTAAAGTTCTTTGATTGCTTTCAACAGAGGCATCCGAGTTCAAATAAGCCTTTTCTTTTTCTCGGTTGCCTGTTCTAGCTGATTGTCCAATAACTACTGCGTCATCATCTGAATCAGATTCTGACTGATCACGTGCAAGTGTGGACGAATCACGGTCAAGACCACCTGCAAGTTTTTTATCTTCTGCATGTGCCTCATTACCTAGAAGGACTTCATCGTGCGAGAGTGCTGATATATCAGCAACTTGATCACGTGGAACTTTTTTACTAAGAGTAACAGCGGTTGTCTCGTGTCGCGCACGTGGCGAAGAATCACGTGTCTCGTCACGTGCGTTATGTTTCTGATTAGGAGTAGAAAGAGGTGCCTGATCACGTGCAAGTGGTGCTGGTGCAAGTCTTTTATCTCGTGCAGCGTCTTTGAGTGCAAATTCCTCAACATGTACAGCTCTATCAGGTTCAAGTGTTTTTCCCACGGGTTTGGTTGACGACTGTGGATCTTTTACATTATAATATAACAAAATACCGGTTATTGACTGACAATTTTGGTATAGCCACGAACGTTAATATGCATGTGATTGTCAACGTAACAAATAGCTTTTTGGTAAAGCGAAACTTTCACTAAGAATGAGAAGAGAAAGCATGGCTGTGTTTCAAAGCATAACAAAGACTGTGAAAGAAACTACAGCAATCTTGCTCTACCTTCACACCTAATTCATTCTCGCGTGCAGCACGACTTAAACTAACATTATTCATTTTACATCTTTACCACAAACACAGCTCTTTTGCATGCAAACACACAAATAAAAGTTGTAAGCAGTTTAGAACGAAATGATTTCTTTTATATCTGTTAATACAACTAAAAGCTTCCAATCAAGTAACTAAGTAAGCATCAGGATAAAACGTTTTTGCAGTGCGCGACCTAGGTAAAAATATTACAATAATATGGTCTATACAGCATGTTCTAACCTGACAAACTGTGTCTCCTTGCGTTTGTTAGAGCAGGTCCTGGGTGTCTCCTACTACTTGACGAGCTAGTTACCAGGCCATCATCAGAGTCAGGTTCCGAACCAAGCGACAGGTGACTGGAACTGAAAAGAAAACAAGAGAAGTTCGCAAAGAGTTATATCAGTTCCTTTTTAGCACAAGCGGCAGGAAAACTTGGTCGACTTTTTGCCCCGTTGGGATGACATGCTCCTTAATGAGGTACGCCAGTGTCTTTACTGGGTTTCCAGAACCCAACAAAAAAAGACACAGGCGTACATCTTACCACAAATGCTGCCAGGAAAAAGTGCCTTCTCTAAAACATAATCCGAAGCAATTTTGTGGCCATTTTAACTACTATACCTTCCTCTTGTTCTCGTTTCACGTGCCTCCAGCTCATGCCCAGGTTCCTCTCCCAGATGCTTCATTCTCGCAGAGTGCGCTCTCATTGCTGATTGGATAGTGACAATAGCGTCATCGCGGTCTGTGAAATCCTTGTTAATTTCCTCAATGTACTTGCTACGAACGGCCTGACCTCGCAAGGCGGCCTGGATCTCTTTAATCGCCTACAAATGAATGGCAAAATGTTAGAATACAAAGAACTTTACATTTTAAAAGTGTTTTCGCGGGGTTTTCGTGGTGTTAAAACGGAACATACATGGCGTGATTCGGCAGGTGTGACAGTCCAATGTTAGGGCTTTAAACAGCGTGTAAAGGTACTTCTTCAGCAGAGCTTTCCTTTTTGTTACGCCGTTCTGATGAACCACAAAATTTGCCAAACAGCTGTCAACGGCTACGACCCCGATCTGTTTAGATTCTATCAGTGTCGTGTCTATGTCTTTTGCGTATGTTTTAGTTTACCTGATCCCGGTGAGGCTTTCATAATAAAACCAGTGCATCTCAGTTTACCTTTAGGTTATCTACTCGTTAACATGATTCCAGTTAGAGGAGAAAATTGTTGTATACAAGAAACTTAACAGGTCTCAAGATTTGCTATGGTTGGGAAGATCATAGAGAAGTCTTGTACTTTGTAGCCTGCGAAAACGTACTTTGGGGACCGGTGAAAGGGCGTTGATGAAGGCTTAACGTGACGGTAGCACTCCCAAATCTCCCACCACAAAATCCACTCTGCCACAAAAGCCTGTCCTTACCCTACAAGAACCTGCACATAGACCCCTGAAACGATGGCATGAATTTAAACATTACCTCTTCCTTGGCTTCTTCTTCTTGTTGCTTGGTCTGCAATGAAAATTCCAGTTCAATAAATGTTTATATTTTTTCAGGGCAAGTTTGTAAAAAAAATAAATAACTGTGGAATATTTTTAGGTGAAAGAAATTCATGTTGCCCAAAATTAATACTTATTATATAACAGTTTCTAAACATTTTCTAACTAAGTAGACGTTCGGATCTATAGGGCAGTAAAAAGGGGAAGTTGCGTGAACAACTTCAAACGATAAGGGGCACCCTAGAGGTCTTGGAATCACGTGATCATCTAAAGCCCTCCCAACGTTTGCCGTGAAAATCCCCTGCCACTTGTTACTTCGGCCTTCGGCTGAAGATGTGTCGGACCAGCCCGAAATATCTTGAAGTGCAAGGGTAAAAGACACTTGATACCCTGGGATAAGTTGCGCTGAGGCTCACAGCAAGGCCTAGCGTGCAATAATTCATATCAAATGCTGACTAGTTTATTTTGGTGTGAATGAAAAGTCATTTTCAAAGGAAAGAAAAGAAATCTAGGATTCGCTTTGAAAATGAGGATACATGTAATAAACAAATACTGCAAACAACATTTTTCCTTTGTTAAACCTCTTCGACTGTGGAAAACACGTCAAAAAATTCGAAATTCGAGTGGCAACACGAGCCGCAGGCGAGTGGTTCCATTGCGAATATTTGAAAAACAAACAGCAGCATCATTACAATACCTTCATGCTCTAAACTCCAAAAGACTAAAACTCATGGGCACGCGAGAAATCACTCAGTTATAGTACAAACCTTCTTAACGAGGACACGAAAGGGAAAAAGCTAAGAGTCCACAGCAAAGATATGTGTGTGTCAAAGAGGTGTGGATTGTATGAAGTTTGGAATTTGAGGTAACAAGGCAACCATCTGAAAGAAGAGGTTTCATTGAAACTTGAAAGCTTCATCTACAATGAAGAGATCTAACAAGAATAAAGGACAGGGAAACATCTTTTGGTTTAGCACTTACCCTATCTCTGTGTCTGCGCCAGTTTTTCTGAAGCGTCACGGCAGCGCCGTTTCTCTTCTGTTCTTCCTCTTGTATTGCCTGCTGTTGCTTCTTCCCTTGGTAACCACGCCACTGTCTTTGTAGCGTCTTAGCAGCTCGCTGTTGTTGAAACTCCTTCAACATTCGATCCAAGTCGTCATCGTTATTGTCTGGTGAAGATGTATCCTTAAGGGATAGCTTCCTTGGGCTAAACGTACCAAACCAATACAAAGATTATTGCGCTGCAAAAGAACAAGTTTCTCTCCCTCCTTCTCCGCAGTCTAATACTATTTACACCTTCAGACGTTTCTGTTTGACGAGTTCTCGCATTTAGTGCCCACCAACGCAAAAATACTGCTGCCTTGCTGTATTAAAAGGTCACTTTCAAACACTTTTTTTGCAACGCAATAAACTTGACTTCACGAAACTCATCCACAAATGCGTAAAACTCATGTACTAACAATTTCAACGAAAAACTGTTTGTATTAAGTTTTTGTACAAGTCGAGCGAAAGGAATCTCTTTCGACATTCAAAAATCTGACGAGGTTTCATAAGCTCGCTAGCAGTGTTAATAGACCTCACCTGGATAAACTAGCGGAAGATCTTCTTCTTTCTCCTACAGCAGCCTTCTCGCCTTTTAATATGACTAGCTCATCTTGAGTAGATTTCAATTGCAACCTAATCGTTTATTGTAGTTAGTACAGTAGATTAACAATCCTTATAACCAAGTATAGGCCCGTCTCTACAAACGAATCAACACAGTCGCGGAAAGCTACTGCTTCTATAGAAATAGTTTGTCATTAAACTGTTTACCATCGCCGATCACCAACTTTAGTCAAATTCAAATGTAAACTTGTTGGAAGGTCCATGATTTCAAACAACGAATAAATTCCATTCACATGCATGTCTGTATCTTGGAAAATGTGTAGCATGTAATAAAACAAATCTTCTTGGAATCCACTCTAGGTTAGCAATCTCCTTGTCCCTAGATAACCACGGTGGACAAATTAAAAAACTAAATTCACTCCCATCAGTCCAATAGACCATTTCTGAGTGGCCTCAAGTCTCTGTTTCAAAGCGAGGCTAAGTGCGAAGCCATCGATATGGAAATGATTGTTTATTCTCATGCAAATATCGGCTTCATGGGCTATTGACTCAGAGCCCATGAGGGCGAGAGGAATAACTGTTTTAGTAACATAAAATTCAACTAGTTGGTCAAAAAATATCGAGACAAAACAATTTTAGCTAGTTAAAGCTAGACTTTGATCCTTTTTTGCCGCCAAAAAGCCGGCGCTTTTCGCTGCTCAACCAGTCAGAACGCAGCATTGATAATAGGCCACTAGTTGGATTTTACTAAAATTCATTAGCCTCGTTTTGAAAGTAAGAATTCTTGGAACTCGAAAATGACCTATTCAACCTCTTGTGTAACCACTTCAGCACAATCTGGACCAAAACAGCCTTTTTAAAAACTACTTTACCTCACATCGGGGCCCCTTGTGCCTTTTATTTAGATAGCTAAATCAGAATCTATCAAAGGTACTGCATTTTACTCCCCCACAAACGGCTCAAATTCGGTTAAACAAACCGTTTGAGTTCACAGTGTTGAAAAACCTCAAGTTTACCAAAACTGCATAATATTTCACTTGACAAGATCAATCAAGACAAATACACCTCATTTCAAAGTGGTGGCCAATTTAGGTAGTCTCGTTTCAAGGAAGAAGTTCTCTTGAATTCCGAACATACAATCGAAGCCACGAGGGTTAATTAACATAAACATAAAAGAAAAGTACCATTTCTGGATAAGGTGTATGGCAATCTTTATTTTACCTGAGGTCATCTGCGACTGATCTGTAATGTGCGCGATCTTCTTTCAGTTGCTCAATCACTTTGCGCTGTTTCTCTCTTTCTTCTAGAAGTTCTATTTCTCTTTCTTGAAGCTGGGCGAGTTTCTGAGATGTGGTTCCCTTCAGTTCGATCCTTCCTGGAACTACCAACATAAAATACGAATAAGGTAAGGTAAAGTTTGGTCACTCTATTAACGCTTTAAGGGACTGGTCAAAAAGTATAGGGGGGGGTGGGCCGGAGCATTTAGAAATGTGGTTGATAAAAAACACATGACCCACCCCCTCCCTTCGGCACAAAAATGACTGACCCACCCCTAAAGCAAGGTTGGAAATTGCATGACCCACCCCCTAGTTAAAACATGGATGATTGGTTTCCTCTAAGGCAATCCCCTTTTTTCTCTTCGTTTACCGTCGAATGCGTTTCCTGATATTGGGTCGGTCGGTCGGATTGAAAAAAAAAAACTTCAAAAAAAAATCACTAGAAGTCTCGGAATAGTAGGCCCTGGTACCCCAGGATGACGTTAAAAGTTAACATTCACATATTTGGATTAACAAAATGTACAATATACTGTGAAAAATGTTCATGTTTTTGTTCCTGTTTTTCTCTGTGCTCTTATGATGCTCATTTTTCAGATTAAAAGAATTATTTCAAGTGAAAAATGGTGTAACTACGTCGTTACCTTTTTTTTAAAAATGCCAAAAATTTGGGTCGGTCGGACGACGGTAAACGGAGAAAAAAAGGATGGCCTAACCTTGTTCTGTGCTTGACAAAATTTGTTGATACACTGCTACAACCAATATCAAAATCACAGAAATCATACCTTTTACTGAAAAGACAAATGTGAAAAACAGAACATTTCTTGTTTCCATGGACGTTATGAGTCTTGACACAAATATACAGCAAAACAAGGGCATATTGAAATTGTCTGTCACAAAGCATATGAAAATTTCTATAAAGACGACCCATTCCTACACATTACTTGCCGGAAATTCTTAGATTAATCCTCAAAGAAAATTTCTTCCACTTCAATGGAAAGCACTACCTACAAAACCATGGAACTGTAATGGGCACAAAGACAGCAGTTTTGATTCCTTTGCCAATATTTTCATGACATATATTGAAACAACAACTCTAAGCAAAACTGTCTTTAGAACAACAGTTTGGAAATGCTACATACACGATATCTTCTCCCTATGGGACATGAGTAAACCTGACATCGAAGCCTGCATTGAACAAGCAAACTTACATCACCCAACTATTAAATTCATGGCCGAAACATTTGACACTGAGATGCAGCATTTTTAGACACGGTCGTATACAAAGGCACAAGATTCAAGANAAAAAAAAAAACGCTTGATGGACGGAGGCTACCCACAAACTTTGATAGAAGACCTACTATCAGAAATAAAATTTACAAAAACGAGTCTAAACTCCTAAAACAAAACATACAAGGAGGAAAAAGAAATATTGCCATTTGTGACACAATACCAGCCCTCAGTGTCTACTTTAAAGGAAGCTTGAATAATAAAAATGGAATCTTATACAAAACCAGCCATAACTTTAATAAATTTTTAAAGAACCACCAATCATTTCCTTACAAAAAAGGAAAATCATTAAAGGACATGCTCGTTAGAGCAAAAAAAAAAAGGTTAACAAAGGGTTCACGGGATGTGCGGCCTGTCACCCGTTGCATTTTTCTCACACAACAGGTTTGTGAGTATTTTAGCAATTTAATTCCAGCTGGCTGTGTTTTATATAACAAGTGTGGTCAACTGTCTCGTTAGTGGTTAGTGCTTATCTATGTAATAAAATAGGGTGACCCACCCCCTAAGGATAGCTTAAAATTGCACGACCCACCCCTTGCACAAGGCTCAAAACCTCATGACCCACCCCCTCTCTGCTCCGGCCCACCCCCCCTGTACTTTTTGACCAGTCCCTAACTGTCAAAAGAAAAAAGAAAACATCATTCACGAAGGCAAAATTTAACAAGTCACTGATGCTTCTCTCTTCTGAAAATGCAATTTTCTTGATAAAATTAAATTATACCTTCAGCAGATTTTGAAATACTTTTTCTTCTCACTTCCAAGTCAGTTTGTTTTTCCTCGGGTAAGGATCCCTTGCGAGGCAGTATTTTCTTTCCGCCGGAGTCCTGCAGTTTCTGCAAACCAGCAATGAACGAATCTAATGAATCTAGACCAAACTAAGGCCTTATTTACACTGTAAATTTACCCCGCTAATTTGAATCTAAATCCTGCACTGAAGTAGGATTAAATGATACTTTACTTAAGTGAAGAACAATATAAGAACCGCGATTCTAATCGCTCGTCGAGGTAAAGTTACGGAAAAACGGGCAACAAAAAACGTTCAACTTGTTTTTCAACATTGCTGCAAAACGAGTTGAATATAAAGGACGTTGCGCGTTTTACCACCCACATCAAACCTGTCCTGCAACAAATCAGGTTATTAACAGGTTTGAAGGTGGGTGATAAAATGCGCAACATCGCTATTCAACTCGTTGTGCAGCAATATTGCAAGACAAGTTACACGTTTTTTGTTGCCCGTTTTCCGGTACCTTAAAGGAGCTGTGTCACGAATTTTATTAAAATTCAAGTAGTAAGAACTGGCGCCAAATTGAGCGAATCATAAAAATAACAGCTCAAGACATTAAAACAAGGTGTAAATAACACAGCAAATAGAAAAGAGAAGGCACAGATAGACAAACTTGAAGAACAATGAAACGGGTCGGATCGAAATTGTGAGTTTTTAAAAACTTGTTAGCCAAGCAGTTTTTCAAAGCTTATTTTTGCTACGTGACATCAGCTTTAAATAGCACAAATGCACACATAAAAAGAAAGGAGGAGACGAGGAAAAACGCTATTATTACGCTATTAAGCTAGTAATTTCTTCGTTAACGTTAAGTTCCATGATAGCGCATAAGAAAGCGTAATTGGCAAGATTAACAAAATGAGCGAGACAGCTGTCACACAGCCCTTTTGATTCCTGAGCAGCGTAACTGCCATCGGCGGATAGATTTCACAAAGCTACGACATTCTCAAAGTAACTCTATTTCGTGTAAAGGACAAGTGCTCTTCTGGGTGTTTTGTATAGCCATGACAAGAAAGGCACAATATCTGTCTTCGTTAAACGTATGCATTTGTTATTTGCGCATCCGTTAATATAGAACTAATCCGTAATGTCTGCAAATAACAACAGTAAAAATAACCTCCACTAAAATAGGTAATAGAATAGACTTGCTACAAGTCGACATCTCATAAGTTCTTAAAAGTGAGCGAAGCAAGCTTCAATCCATGAGGTCGCGCAGCGACCGAGCGAGCGCGACGAAGTGTCGAGGTCGACTTGTTTCGCCTGAATGGATTTGAATCATATTATAAATTCACGCGGGAAAAAAGGATTGACAGATGCTGTGTCGGGAGGGGCATGAAATATCACTCACTGGTGATATTTCATGGTCAATTGTCACGATCTCACTGGTAGAATTTTCGACCGGTGAATTTCGCGCCAAACAGGTATGAAAAGTCCTTTAAAATGGCATATTCAACCTGCGTTTACCAATATGGACTGAACAAGCTATAAGGAAAAAACATAAAGGACTTTTAGAAAGTCCAGTAACAGAACGGCCAGTACATTTACAAAGTGACATTTTTTTTCTGTTAAAGTGCAAGCACTCTACTGGACACCTGGTCTAACATTCGACATTAAAATGGTCGACAGTGTCTGCAAAATTTGAAATAACAAAAATAAGGATAAAACCTATATTAAAGTATCACATAACTTACTTCCTCTAGTTCGTGAATTTTAGCCAGAAGTTGCCCTCGGTTCATATCTGCATACTCGGCTGAAATCACAAGTACCAACAATTTGCATATTAGTGTTTGGGATCAAAATACTGTACTCAATAACATTTTGCATCAATTTAAAAGCTTCAGCGAAACATACAAGTGCCAAAATTCAAACAAATATTAAGCAAAAGTCGACAACAAAATTTAGCAAGACTCTACTGACTTTTCAAAGCCACTTTCTTTTCTCCAGTAGACGAATTTTCTATTGCTGCCAGCAAATCTTTCTTGAGACTGCGATTTTCCGCTTTCAAATGGTCATTTTCCTCTAAAGAATGAACAAAAACAAAGCACACATCACATTCAGAATTCACGTGCTCATAAGTACGGAAAAGGTGTCTTTTTATTCGAACATACGAAACTTCTAGCAACTTGTCAGTGTTGTCATTTCTCTGAGGCCTCCTCTCCCTTGGAAATCAGGGAAAAGAGACCTCTGCTAACAACTGGCGACCCTTGACGGCTACTCAGCAAGGTTTCAGTCACGAGGAGACGATGTCCATCGGTTCTGAAACGTTACTGACCAGTGTTCCTTAATCTCTTTGAACTCAACACGGGAAGCGCTTTTCGCTGCTCACTCTACTCCACTGTTTAAGAAAATCAAGACATTACTCCTAGTCTCTAATGGGACATGTTGACTCAAGTAATTTTGCAAATGAAAGTAAAAATTTGCATCCTATCTTAATAATGAAGTAGCAATGTTTTTCGGTAAAAACCCTACATTAAAAAATTTTACAAGTGTAGTTTACCAGTGTGGCTTCTGTCTCAGACTCTGAAACAGTGATTACACTTGTAAATGTTTTGACCCCAGGAGCCCATGGAGAGTCAACAAGAGTCAAGGCGGGTTAGACTAGCATTCTGTAGAACAGTCTGTTAGAGTTTTAAGGCGACATTAGGGAGTTTAACCAACTGACGTAATTTTTGAGCGATGCAGGTCAACCAGAAGTGGAGTTTGTGACTTGTAAGCCGTGACTTCGAACAAATTCTCGGACAAATCGTCTCTTTAAGAGTGAAGACTCTAAGAAATACAAATTTGGTAGCGTCAAGGTATATTTAAAAGAGAAAAAGGCTCACTTCCGGGAGACGTGCGTCGCTCAAAAACGTCGCTGCTTAACTCCCTATTTAGCCTGTTCCATGTGTTCAGATTGTGGGAGCGGTACGAAAAGATGTGAGCAGGAAAAACAGCGAGGGGACGCCTACAACGGGCTAGGCGACATTCACTATGCGTCACAAATGTGCGCAACATGGTTGGTTTTCAAAATTATACAGCTATTTCGAGAAAGGTTGTCGGACAAAGTGCGCGCGACAATTCCGAAAGGTATTGTGGGGGATTTTGAGTTCAAAAATTTGAAAGAATGGCACGAGCAACCGTGGAGGTATGTTTGCGAGTGCTAGAGAAAGAAACAAAAGTATGTTCGACAGCTACAGTTCAGGAACAGTGTATTGATCATATCCCATAATACCTCAGTTTCAGGATTGTCGCGTGCACATTTTTTCTGACAACCTTTCTCGAAATAGCTGTATGTAAAATTGGTGAATTTTAAACAATATCATTTTTCATACCTGATAGTCGCTGAAGAGTTAAAGTTGAAGGCTTTTCTTTCGATCTTCTTGATGAGGGACTACTTCTTGGAGAGCTGAAAAAATGCCCTCAAATATCAACGCGTGGTTCAGAAACAACAATTGAAGTCTGTACAATAAATCTCGTGAGATGACCATTGCAACAAAGACGCTTTGCCACAGCATTTGATTTTGGGTACCCGGCGAGCAGGGGTTTCTTTCTGACATGGCTTTTAGCATTTTTTAAGTCGTTCGCATGGCTTGTCAGTGGCTTCGGGGCGTAAACAAACCAGCTTCGAGACTGACAAGCGAAGTGAACGACTTCGTAAATGCGAAAAGCCATGAAACAGAGAAACCTCTGCACGCAGGGTAGATTTCAAGTTACCGAGCTTAGGTAATAAGTGGGCGGGGAACTGAACAACGAGGAAATTCTTTTAGTTTATGTTCTTTGTGTTTCCTAAGAAAGTAGCTGGGGGTCGCAGAAATTGGCGCAAGCTGTTGTTGGTGTCCCTGCAAAGTCTGACAAAGCTTAATAAACACTGAAATGTATATTAATGAGTGTGTGTATACCTCCAGCCTCCAGGAGGGTCATGAACCTGTGCTTGCTGCATTTCCAAAAGAGCCAGTTGTAATCTTTGAACCTGCAAGGCAAACAAAAGGTGAAAAATGAACAAATTTAGAAGTTTAGAAAACTGTACAGAATGAGTTCAGAAAAGAAAAAAGCAGCGTCAGCTTTTAAAATAAAGAGCATACGGCAATAAAAGGTTAAAAACTTGAAGACTAGAAAAGATGTAAATATGTGACCATTTCGTGAAACCAAACAAAGAACCTAGCTGTGGTTACTAACAGTTTCTTTTATTCTTGTTATCATACACTTTCGAGATTTGCCTTCTTTTTATTATCAAAAACTTGATCTTGAGATTGGGTAAAAAGTGAACTTTTCGTTTACTTTTTTATAGTTTTCTCGCTTAAAACAGTCAAACTTTCTGTTTCGATTCACAAGAGAGGGAACTTAAAGCGATGGCTGCACGTTATGATTTATTAGAACTGAATACATTACCTCTTGATAGTAAGTCTCACTCTGTATTTGCAGCTCTTCAATGTTCGTCATTTTCATGTCTTTCTTCAGTTTACTGTTGATTAAGATAAACACTGATGATAAATTCCGGCATGTTAATTCCTCTTTTTGTTCTCAGAGTCAATTGCTATAAAGCAGTTCAGTTCTTACCGATACTACACATTTAAACGTTTCGCGAAAAGCCCTGTTTATGATTCGTTTCAGTGTTTCAAACGGTCTTTCAAGTAAACACCAGTTATACATGTATGAACTACAATAAATCCTATGAACAGTTTCAGTCTGGACTTCTCACAAATTGAGGAAATGCAAAAATAGTAATGGCATCAGCGTGTTGCCATGGATGTACACTGAATTTGCAACAAAAAACTGACTTTTTTGGAAACCCCAATCTATACCCTACAGCTGTTCAAGTATATTTTCTGTTTTGTTTGAGGAACGTTTGAATTTTGTGTTCAAAGACAGGAGGTTTTGTGACTGAAGAATACGGTCGAGCCATCTTAAGCAGCCCTCGATCTATTCGATGGCCACTTAACAAATTCCCAGAATTTTCTCTCCATATTAACTGTAAATTCAAACTCCATTGGCCAGTCGCCTCGATCAAGTACAAGCAGTCACCCTGTTTCACTCTACACTAAGCTTGTGAATAGTCAACAAGTTTGCCTCCTGCCAAAAGGAATTCTCACACTCTTTTCAACTTTCTTTCTTTCAGCTTCTTGCTTGCTTCCATGCATCAGCTTTTATTGTGCTATAACTACCGCTAAGGGCAAATAAAGGGTCCCTAGTTATTGTTAGAAAATATTTATAAAGATGATGATTTGCGTGCCTCTACCTTAGTTCAGTTTCCTTGTCCTTAACAGTTCGCTCCACTGCATGGAGTTTCTGTTTCAGACTGTTAACAATCTGCACAAGAAAAGGATTCAATCCATTAATTTATTCATTGAATTTTCACTTCTATTATTTTCAAAACAATTACTGTATTGTTACATTAGTTAAAAACCGCTGTATAAGCCTTCACTGATAAAGGCTTAGGACATACAGATCAAAGGCTTAACAATTACCAATAATATTTATTTATTTTTTGAACAACAGACAAAACAAAGTGTCAAGTAATTTTATCGACTCAAATAAAAGTACTATAATTTTTGCATTAATACAACAAAGAATATTCAAATCAGTCATTTTAGGACCCATGTAAAGGTGGTTTTCACCAATAAGCTACATGTAGAATAGTGCTAATTTGAAAGCAGTTATCATTGTGTGCAAAGAAAGTAGTGTTCGATAGCCTGAGGCTAGTGGAGTTGCTATAGGGCTACTGTACTCTGTTCAGCCACGTGAAATTTTTTGGGGAATTCAAATTGCAGAAGAAAGTTACTGTTGAAAGCCACTTCAATTCAAAATCTAGCCTAGAGTTTCTATATAACTATATAATGTAATTTTAAGCAAACTACAAATTTGACACAGTGGCTCATTTTCTTACTTGGCAAAATAAAATAATAAAATTGTAAATAAATAAATAAATAAATAAATAGGTTTACAATCAAGTCAAGTACTTACAGCACTGGTGTCTCCTTTCTTGTCAGTTAGTGTCCTTCTCATGTCCTCTGGCTGCAGAGGAGATGCCCCATTGAAAAGAAAAATATGTTTAGTTCACACTTGATGGGCGCAAATTCCAGTAAAGAAAAATATATGTATTTATTGCTATTAATAATTAGTAAAATCCAGCTAGTGGTCTATTATCAATGCTGCACTCTAATTGGTTGAGCTACTACTAGGCTACATGTTATAGCCCACTAGTAGTGAAAAGTGCCGGCTTTGAGACCAAAACAATGGTGACAATGGATTTAACTAAAACAATTATACCTCTCACCCTGATGGCCTCTGAGTCAATAGCCCATTTGACCTTCAGCCTCATGGACTATTGACTCAGAGCCCATTTGGGCTCAAGGAGTTAATTATCCCTGCCTAATTTAACTATTTCCTAGATAAAGCTGATACGAAATACAATAAAGATACAAGGGAAAAAGAAAACAAAGAAACATTCCAGCCAACACACCGGAAAAAAAATGGGGTTACTATTTTTATTAGTGTGTTGCAATGACACAAGATGGATATTACATCATACCTTGCAATAAAAAAGTAAAGCTTCATGGAAAGCTTAGTTTGCCGCCAAACACAAAAAAATATTATTTTTCATTCTTAACTTTTTCTTCTGGTTCTTATAGTCCTGAATTATGTCACTGTTTCTGCATCTTGAAAAATTTAGTGTTGTTTAAGGTTTATGTAATCCACTTAATCTCTCTCTTGAACCAAGATCCTTAATCTTTTATGGTTTACTATACTTCTTTATTGTTTTTCCATTTTAAGAAAATTATTAATATTTTGAAGTTTCCTTAACTTTATATTTAGAAATCCTGTACATTGAAAAAATAGGACTATAAATACTGTGACAGAGCCCATTACAATGTAAAAAATCAGTTAGTACTCTCAAAGTAAGATTATAACATGAAAAACATGGGGGAAAATTATCTATGATAGAACAAATCTTTATGCAATTTTTAGAATATAGTTAAATCTGTGAATAAATACATCCAATCACAACAACCCTTGCAGTGAAGAGTTTGCTGGAAGTTGCTTGTAAGTTAGAGAAAAAATGAATGAATTATCAGGGAATTTCACTTTTCCTTTCCATACAGGTATTACTTGTGTATATTGGAGGAGGCTAAGAGGGTATGGTGAAATCAAATAGGACAGATTAACAAGAGAGGCAACTTGTAACAAGAGGTACTGAACACCAAATGTACATCAGTTAGTTATAACATCTATGAGCTATTAAAAAAAAGTGATCTTCACTTCTTTTACAAAATATTACATTTGTAAACATAGTGACTATCGATTACATAGTTTGCTTCTAAGGAGCAAAGATTCATTGGCACACCTTAGAAAAGATCCCATCTAAGACCTAATATAAATACTGAACCCTTGAAACAGATAGCTTTTTAATAAATTAAATTCAAGTATACCTGAAATTATTTGTCATTTTATGTATATTTTGCTGATGAATCTAATGGCTACTTATTATGACCATGATTAGGATTAGGATTCATTCTCATAAACTCATAAACCTGATTTCCTTTGTCCTTGGGAGCTGGGACCAAGCCATGGACCTAGGCCATCATTAGCTATTATTATCATTTAAATTATTATTACAAGTGATAACCAAAGGTTAGGGAGTGCAGACGACAATGATCGAAGGTCCAAATGCTTTTGCTCCAATGCTGCGCTTTGCCTAAGTTTCACGTGACAGATGGTCCAAACCATGCATGATCAGATTACGAGGGGCAGAAGGTCGAGATGTGCATCACCAAATATTGTGTTCTGTGCATTTCATTCATTCTTAGTAGAAGTCCAAACAAATGCTGGCTACATAATGTGACGCATGCGTAATAACAACCTGGAGATAAGGATTGCAGACTCCTCTTGTCGCCTGCAATTGTTAGTATTATTGGGCTTCTGGTGCATACCTGCTTTCGTTGATTTAATAGGTCTTCAAGTTTTCGTTCCTGATAAGAAAAAACAGAAAACAAGTAATAATCAACAAAACTGAGAAACCCACTATTCCACTTAAACCTTGAGCACAAAATCTTTGTGATTTAAGATTGTAAACTTGGAGTTAGAATTTTTAGTAAAAATAGTCCACTTGGTTAGTTCTAACAACTTATTTTACTATTAAATTTGCCACCAAAAAGAGATTTAACAGCTGACATCTTGAGCACTAGCCCTTCTGTGGATTGGAGCAAGTCAAGGGATTATGGGTTTGCATGGTCTATAAATTATGATGAATGATGATGCATACTTTTGGTACACCCTTACCTTTAAAACATTGTCCCCTTCAACTCTCCGAAGTTTTGTGTTGATAACATTGTTCTCTTCCTTCAGGGCATTTATAATCTAAACACATATAGAGAGAAATTTGCAAAAATTTATACTAATTTGTAATATTGTAGTTTTAAGGGCCCATAAAACCCTAAAGTAAGGTCACGCACTTTTTTACCTTCATTTTGAAACCAAGGGGATTTGGAACTTGCAAATGGCCTAATTTGTATTCACAAAATTGTCATTTCACAGCTCACTAACCTTCTTTAACTCTATGATCTCATCATAGTAGTCTTCCTGTGGTTTATATGCAGGACCTCCTCCTGTCAATTGAGGTTCACCTTAAATAAGAAGTGAGAAAGAATAATACAACTTAAAAAAAGTAAATTATAACCGGTGGCTGTACTGCTAATCAGCACTTGGATGGCATAATTTATTTGTTTATACTGTTAAATAATCTTGAAATAATTCATAGGCTCTCCACACAAAACAAGGATAAAAAGTTGTGAAACTGTGAATTGCAATTATACTTTGTTGAATCAACTAGTTTAAAAATCATGTGAAGTTGGTTAATAACTGCAGAGCTGAGCTTCATCTAGTTTTTCTTTGTGAACATTTCCACCAAAGTAGTTACATGACTTGTGAACCCCTCTTATTATATACAGTAAAAGATTGTATAAAGAAAAACCGCCACCCGGTTAGCTCAGTTGGGAGAGCGCCGGTCTGCTGAGCGGGAGGTCGCGAGTTCGAATCCTGGCCGGACCAACACTCAGGGTCTTAAAAAATAACTGAGGAGAAAGTGCTGTCTTTGTAATGACATCTGCAAATGATTAGACTTTCAAGTCTTCTCGGATAAGGACGATAAACCGGAGGTCCCATCTCACAAACCTTGTTCACATATAACTCTGTGGTGCTCATAAATGGACTGATAGCGGCTGCCATCGGCGCCCTTAGTATGCTGATGTCCGAGCCCACTGCAGAAAGCTATGTAAAGAGGACATGTATGTTTGTCCTCTCAATCGCGACATTTACATTTACATTATATAATAACATTGAAAGAGATAAAGATTATAAAAATATGTACACAAAACATACTTGCAGACATGCTTGCACTTCTAACATGACTCTTATTTTTAATGTCTTTTATCTGAAACCAAAACAAAATTGAAAGGAATAAACATTTACTTAGCCATTAAGCTGAAGGAAAGTGGCACTTTAAGATGTCACACATCTATGATCACAGCAAGACAGCATGTTTGATAGTCTGAGAAAACTGCCTACATTGTATGATGCTATCACTGGTTTAACTGCAAATGATGTCTGAGAGACTAGAGCAGAAATTCCACACTGATGACATGTCAGCTAGTAGTGCTTCTGATTGGCTGAAGCATCTTTTCAACCAATCAGAGGCACTAAAACAAGATTTGGGTAGTGAAACATGATCAGTAATTATGGAATTGAGGAAACCTGTGGTGGCATAGCCAAATGTCCACTGTTTTTAGGCTACATGTTTGAGAATGAGTAAAAAATAAACCAGTCATACAAGAGTTTCTATGTTGTATGACCAGAAAAAAAATAAGCAAAAATGATGGTAATGACCACAAATAACCTGACTCTGTTTTACTAAGCTGTACATGCATACACCTGGGGTGCTTACCATTTGACAGAAAATTTCAGAAATTTCGAATGGAGGGTAAATGGTGAGGCCACTTTTCGGAAATTACAACCGAAAAATGAGGAGCATGTTTTGAGGTAGTCCTTGCATTCCAGTTGATACAAACCAAACAGAATGTTGATTACCATGCCATTAACCAATTTCTCGGTCCCTTCTTGGTTCCAGACTCATGCTACATGAGTTCACCCTTTTTTTTCTCTTCAAACCGTAACGGATGAGGCATTTCTACGTTAAACTGGTAAATCACTTACTATTATGCTCTCGAAACCCCAACTGGATTTTTCTGTCAAATAGTAAGCACTCCTGTATAACATGGTTGGGGCATGCATGTGGACCTGATTGTACAGCTGTATGCACAAGAAGAACTACTACCTAGGCCAAAACATGAAAAAGTCTAATGACCACTGAAGAATAACTCCTTTCAGATAATATTGACTTAAATCTGTTTGCAGACTTCTACAACTTACTGAAACATAATCACTCATATGCCTTGCTCGACTTCCAGTCTTCATCTGTTTGCTGCTATGAGAGGGCCTGGTACCAGACCAAGTATTCATGGAAGAGTTTTCTGTGCTAAGAGCTAAAAGTGAAATTATGAAAACAAAAAAAACGAATAAGGAAAAAACATACATCTAAGGGGTCTTAAACTATTACAGAAGACTAAAGAAAACCACCGGCAGTGCTGGGCTGACTCCACTTATTGAAGGGAAAAAACCTCTTCCACAAACATGTAGTGATCACAACCTCATCAAATGTACCACACATTACACTGAAAGGTTTGAAGCCAGTAGTCATTTCATAAGTAGATGGAATGTGATTGTGCTGTTGAGTGTTGTCCTGGGCCCAGTTACTCGAAGGTGGATTAGTGCTAACCCAGGGTTAGATTTTAACCTGGGTTTCTTTTTCTTTTTATCTAACACATTTTCTCGTATAATTTTCTCTATTCTTCTTAGAGTATCCAATCACCAAATTGCAAACAAAAAGAATTCAACTGAATTTGCTGTTTAGGCATTCATATCTGAATTCAAATTTCCCACTAACCGTGGGTTATCTGAGCCCAGCTTTGAACAACCGGGCCCTGAATAGGACTGTTGCACCACAGATTGTTTGAGATGGATAGTCATGTTGATGATATGAAGATCATACAGAAATAGGGTTAAGTACTGGTAACCAGGGGATTAACAAAGTTGAATTTAAGAATCTTGACTTTTAAAACTGGACTGAATTGCTCTGAATATAAAATTACTCTATGCCAACTGATACTTGGAGTGCATTGTCATGAAATAATGCAATCTAAACAATTGATACATTGTCAATGGGAAAAAGTGTCACATCTTTATGTACAGAGCTCGTACAGATTTTTGAATCCAAAATTCAAGACTTTTTTTCAAAAGAATAATAATTCTTTTTCCAGACTTGAGGTTATCAAATAGGTGACTAACAGAGACCTTAAAAGAAGCAAGAACAAAACGTTTTTTCACGACACAAAGCAAACATACGTGTACATTTGAGAAAACAAAACAAAATTCACTTACATGTATAAAGTACTTGATGTAGCTTTGAAAAAAACTCAAGACTTTTAACCATTTCCCCGACTTTTTCAAGGTCTGGAAAATTGCTGGGCAAATTTCAAGACTTTTTAAAGAATTCAAGACTCTGTATGAACCCTATATGTAGCAGAGATAAGCTTATACAAACCAATTCTCATGACTTAGATGTAAGTCTCATAATGTTACCTACAGAGTGATAATTTTCATCCCAACCCCTCTCACACACCTGTGGACAAATTTCTCATGCCTTGCTTAAAAATTTGAGCTATCACAGCCTACTTAAGTTGCACTTTTTTTATAAATAACTGTGTAAAATTAATGCAATAAACTGGAACAAATGTAAGGAAAAAACTTTACGACAGTGAATTAAAATATAATAAAGTAAATGATCATACTCTGAAATCTCTGATTTTAGAAGTTGGTCAATGTGGTACACAATTATTCTCTTGCAAGCTTTTCATCTCTTCCAAACACCTTTGGAATCTGTATGCACTTTTGGATATGGTCGGTTCCTCTGTGAAAACACTGGCCTTTGCGAAGGAAAAAATCTCCTGACTTTCAGTCAAACAAAGTTGGCAGATACATATATATTATCAGGCTGTCTTGATATTTGATCAACTTCTCTTAAACACCAAAAAGGTGCTGAAAGAAAGATAGCAAAAACTTCCATGTTGACATGTTAAAAGATTTAGAACATCACATACTGCTTGTTCCATTTCTCATTGCAGTGATCCACATGTTTCTTGCAGCAGGCTTGGGTGGTTGATGCTTTGAGGAGCCTTTGAGTGTAGAGCTGGAGTAAGGTGACTTTGCTGTTTGAAAAAAATAAATAGAGATTTCAGTTTTTCATGTATAGGGCAAACGGCAGATTTAAGTTGAGAATTTCTCAAAATAGAAAATGAGCAGATAAAAGCAGCTCCAAACAATTCTTATGGATGAAAAATTGCTTGAAACTACTAATTTAGGTGTAGGAATAATGAACAGAAATCGACAAGTAAAGAGGAAGCTTGGTCATGTGGTACAAATTCGCGTTTGCGGTTTGACATAAATGTGATGCTTAACCTCTCTAATAATGGAAGAGTTTTTACTTTTACTAGAGATGTAACACTTAATAACAGATGGAAGCTAAGAGAGAAACGTAAATTTATGTGAGATACAAAAATATCACACTAAAATAAATGTAACTACATGTACATAACAATAAAATCAATATTTACATTATTTTACAACCACTTTAAAAGTCAAGTACAATAATTATGATTAAGAGTTTTCTTTGTTTATTTGTTGTCGTTTTTTTATGAAAACCAGAAAAGGTTAATTCAAACTTTAATTTAACTGTGACCCACTTTCCATCAGCTGAAAATCTTTATTACACCATACTTCTTCAATTGGTCTATACAACATGCTTTCTCCATTACTAGCATTGCACATCTTCTCACTCTCAGAAAGCAGTAGTCAGACATAGTTTCTTACACAGAGGCAAATTAAAAATAATTGTAAATTTATGTGAGATACAAAAATATCACACTAAAATAAATGTAACTACATGTACATAACAATAAAATCAATATTTACATTATTTTACAACCACTTTAAAAGTCAAGTACAATAATTATGATTAAGAATTTTCTTTGTTTATTTGTTGTTGTTTTTTTATGAAAACCAGAAAAGGTTAATTCAAACTTTAATTTAACTGTGACCCACTTTCCATCAGCTGAAAATCTTTATTACACCATACTTCTTCAATAATTGAAGAAGTATGGTGTAATAAAGATTTTCAGCTGATTTTCAAGCATGTTGTATAGACCAATTATTGGTCTATACAACATGCTTTCTCCATTACTAGCATTGCACATCTTCTCACTCTCAGAAAGCAGTAGTCAGACATAGTTTCTTACACAGAGGCAAATTAAAAATAATGATATTTCAGGCTCTCAAAGTTATTTTTATGCAGTGCTCATTAGCCAAAAATAAAAGTTCTCTCGAAACATACCCTGACCAATGAAAATTAAAACCTTTGTGGAAGCTCATGCCCCTGTAGCTGGTACACCCAGGAGAAACAATCATGTTTTTCAACATTCTTTCTAGCCTCTAACATGAACAGAGCGAGTGCTTTAAAGCAGAAAGATAAATCTTACCAACTCTAGATCTTCGGCCTTGCACAGACCTTGATCTCCTTGAGCCAGCTTAGTGTACAAGTACATTCAAAAAAATATAAAAAAGAATACAGTGTAAGTGTCAGAAATTGTTAGTAACAGTTTGTCCCAAATTACCAATAAACAAAGCTTTAACAAAGTAGTGAGCTCCCCTAACTTTCAGAAAGAGCAGCTGGTTAAGGAGCCATACCTGCAAATTAAGTTTGCATAAAACTTAAAATGTCTAATGTTTAAGGAGCCATACCTGCAATTAAGTTTGAATACAACCTAAAGTGTTTTACGACCAGATATTTTTTACAGTCCAACTGAAATTCATTTATTTGAAAACAGTGACACATTTTTGTAGTCTTCAACATATTTATTCATTCTGTTTCCCTAAGGGTCACATTTTCTTGGAGGCAGCACTAAACTTAAAATAGTTAAGTATAAGCTAAGCATAAGGATGAATTTCCACCTTTTATGTTTGGAGGAACACAATATTTTACTCTGGGGTAACATTAATTTATTAAGAACTTAGCTGCTTTTAAGGGTATTACAAGCTTAGGGTATTATTTTGATATCATGGCTCAGGACAGTGCTCTAGCAGTGCTCAGTGGCCCTGGCCTGTCACTTTACTTTTGCTCCTGGGTGACTAGAAAATAAACTTTTTTCATAAAAATCATATGTTGGCCACCCTGGATTTCACAGGTTCAGAGCACAGGGCTACCGTATTTCCTTGAATAATAGCCTGCGGTAATTATTCGAAGGAAGGCAATTATTTCAAATATTGCTTATGATCACTGGAAGTCGTGCCTTAATTTATTTTCTTTTATTATACCATTAAATAAAAACAAAATTATCACATCAAATAAACTGAACATGACTTTTTAAGTGTTCCAAATTTGGTTCCCTGATTATTCTCAGAGTTTGAATAATCGGTGATCAGTTTTGCTGAATCAGATAATATTTCCACTTCAACTTGACATGTACAGGGAGGGGATAAAAGAAAGAGAAGATAGCAAGAGGGGGGGGCGGGGTAATTATTTGAGGGAGGCGATGATTCCAAATGTTTCCATCAAAGGGGGATGATTATTCGAGGGGGATGATTAATCAAGGGATGGCCATTATTCAAGGAAATATGGTATATTGGCTCCCTCCAATTTCTGTTAGAGAACAGTCTTCGGCTGTTATATGTAGCAGTTAAGTACTGAATATAATGCACTGTCCACTTGAGGAAATACTTTAACTCTTTCATGTTAATAATTTTTTATGATGATAACAAGTATTTGTACCTGTTGGGGGCCTTGGCATGTGTCCACTACCGCCTGAGGCTGCGCTTCCCTAAATAAACAAATAAACAAACAAACAATGGTCATTTTTGTGACATGTGTATAGGATGTCAGTTCTCTATGAACCCCTCCAAAGTAAAGTAAAGAAGTGGCTATGTTGTGGTTCAATTTTATCCTTGGTTTAAATTTTATTTCCCTTTGTTTTGGGGTATGGTAATGTATGATAATGAGTTTGAAACAAAGGAAAATAAAATTTAAACCAAGCATAAAATTGAACCACAACATCCACAACAAAATAATTTGTCCACCCATGACTCGACAACACATTACAGGGCCCCTCACTAACAACAACAGTCATGCAAGGAATTGTTTAAGTCCATTCTAATTAGATACATCTTCCACTTGACTATGATTTACTCCATGGTTTTCAGTTTATCATTATATAACTACAGTTTTGGCCGATCTACCATATCCAGCCAATTATTGATTGTTAAATAAAATTGCCCTCCTTTATCAAGGTTGTGCTCTAACATTTACTGGTAGTCCTAGGAAGCTTAAAAGTCTGAAACTAAGACGTGCAGGGTACATGCGACATGATAGATTTGTACACACATAACTTGAAACACTAAAGCATTTTCTGTTACTCAGAGTACAGTTAGTAAGAAGAAACTAGTTAGGAAAGCCAGCAAAAATCAAAGATGAAAACAATGATGCTGCAGTTTATATTGGAAGCTCCCTGACCATGAACAATCCAATGTTTCTATTGGTTAGGAAGTTCAAAGTGATAGGAGTGCTACTGAACGTTGTGAACAGCCGAGTCTAAAAAAGCTAACAAAAACATATAACAAAGAAGTCTATCGTGCTTCGTAACCATTCCACCTTATCAACCATGCTCAGAGATAAAAGTAAGTCTTTAAGGTGTGCCACAATACTGAAGATGGGGTTATATGGTCTCTTATCTTTACAGAGCATTTCATTATTCAACTGATCATTAGACTTCCTAGCTGGTGGTTTTTCTGTTATGTTTATTTTTTTTCTCTCTCCCTCGTCCCCTCCCCCATCACGGCCAGACATGAACTGAAAACAAAAATCACAGCAAAAAAACTTGCCAGCTATGCAGGCTTACTCATCCTTGGCATGTATAGTATAGGGTAAGTGTTTAGAGTTTAAGCAGTACATTACTACCCTGGTCTAACGTACCAACAACACCCAGGTGTAGCTGTTGTAGTTCAGTTTTATCCTTGGTTTAAATAATTTCATTTTCAGTTTCAAACTCATTATCATACATTACCATACCCAAAAACAAAGGACAATAAAATTTAAACCAAGGATAAAATTGAACCACAACATAACGGTATCCAATATATGTAAATTATTATTACATATAAAGTAGCATGCTTGTTTTGCTTCATAGCTCAAAGAAAGAAGTATCTGACATGTTTAACATGCTTGTCAAAGAACGAGGTTCACTGTAACTTACATGAGTAGCACGCTTTTTTGCCTCATGGCTTTAACAATCAGGTATAAAAATTATGACATTTTGCATGCTTGTTTCGTTAGCCTTATGGCTTGAAGAATACTGAGGTATTTCACTTGCCTAACATTCTTGTATTAATTAACTCATCAGATTGACCCTAATGCAATGCTTTTTTTAAGTCAGCAAGTTGTTCTGTTGAGTCTACAATAACTTTCTCAACTGGTACAACTTGTATGACTTTTAGCAGTGGCCCCCTTGAGTGAATAAAATGTCTCCCTAACAAGATGCAAACCTGTCACAATGACCCAACCTGTTCAATCAGACATGCTGAAAATGTATTTTTCAACTTGGATCAGTATGACAGTATTGGAAATGACTGGTTATTTTGGGGCAGTAATATCTCTGTTTTAGGTACCATGAATAGAGGTGTTGTCCATCCAATACACTTTGCATTTATGTTACTGTAAAGTCAATACCGTAAATGATTGATTAAGCGCTGCTACTTGACTTAGCACTACTCTTGAATAAGCGTTAATTCAATAAGCATTACTCTCGAATAAGCACCGTGTACTACTTTAGGTATTTACAAATTAGCGCCCCACCTTTGTTACGGCACTTGATATAAAGAGATATCAAAACCATACCACTTGAGAAACAAGACTTCGCCCAACTCATGAGTTCTAAAGTTTTAATGTAGGCAAACTCTTGAAACCGGGTTCATATTACAGTTCGAGGTGTACATATTTTATATTAAATTGTGCATACCTAATGCACACCTCACTTTATTCTCTCTATATTTCCCTCAGTGTTTTACCCGTACTTGAAATAAGTGTTTTGATACAACACTTCCTGTTGTAGAGCGGTTTTCACTTGACTGTCGAAAGTAATTGGTTTTGGTTTTGGTTTTGGTTTTGGTTTTACTACGCCCTTTGGTTGGCTAGTGTATTTACTTTGGTTTTGGTTTTACGACAGTCAAGTGAAAACCGTTCTATTATGTAAATCATGTTGTTCTTATGCTAACTGGTAATTTTTCTAAGCATAACTGTTGTAAGAAAAGGACAGAGGTTTGCACCAAAACAAGCTAAGGTCAACCTCAGCCTCACATTCACTCAAAGGCTGGGATACTAAGCTCACAACTGTAAAATGGTCTACTTAGAGCCACAGCTGATTTGTATACACATAGTTCAGTATATTATTAGAGGTCCATATTAACATTAAGGTGTTATTGTATTGTTATGGTTTGCATTCATTTGATCAATATTATTGACCTCGGCTCTGTTTTTACACGTAAATCATTTCCCATTTAACTTTGCTTGACAATAAAAATTAATAAGCTTACCACAGAAATTGTAGAGCCATTGGATACATCGGAATATGCATCCACATCCTAGGAAAATATATACCAAGTTAATCGAAGACCTGTCGATTAGGAACTGCCTGAAGACGTCGATATCCCTTCGCTCTAATTTTAAAGCTAAAAAAAATTCAAGGACTTACTAGTCTTCAAATAGATATGTCACTTACCTCTACAGTAAGTCCTGGTATTGGCATGGATATCAACTGTTTCTTAACAGATTTTTTCTTGTTTTCTCATAATGCACGTGAATGCATGAAGCCAGTACTCTTTCTTATCTTATCCTTTACAAAACGTGGCAAGAAATTACCGTAGCCTTTTCATTATGTATTCAGCAAAATCCTGATGCGTCAAGCATCTTATAACAACACTAAAAATCTTAAACTCGTAAGCAAATCAGGGAATGTTATTCATAAACTAGCAAAGGTCGAGTCGTTTTGGATGTTAGTTAGTTTATCTTCACGACAGTTTTGCGCCTGTCGTAAAGACACACTGTTGTCAGCGGCAAAATATAGTGCCAGTTCCCTCAGGATCACTCACTGCGAGCGACTTATCTACCGGTCGAACCGGCCAAGGTTTTCAAAACACTAGATGACCGGCAGTCCGGTATTTTCAATAAATTTGACTTATCTAAGAATCCCAACCAATCCAAACTATCAAATGCATTATAGCTTGTGTTTGGTTTACCCTGGGCTCAGAAAACGAAACCATATTTTGTGGCACTTAGAACTTTTTTTAGGTCGACTGCCGGTCAAGGTTTTTAAAACACTAAATGGTCGTCCTATACTCTCAATAAATTTGACAAATCGAAAAAATCCATCTAATCTAAACTATCATAATTATTAATCAAGCGATCCTGAAACTCTTTATAGATCTCAAGTTTGGTTTACGCTGTGCTCAGAAAACGAAACCATGTTTTGTGACACTTTGTTTCAGGGGCACCCAACGTAAATTTGCGGAAAATATCTGTTCGGAAGACGATTTGAGATCTAGAATTTTCGGAGCATTTGTTGTAAAATTTTTTGCTTGCCTACCTCTCCTAGAATTTTCGAACATCTAAAAAATGGTATAATTGAAAATTTTTAACGGATTTTTACCCTAAAAAGAACACCTAGAATTTTCGGGAGCCCTTTTTCTGGCTGAAATTTTCGAAAATGTAAGTTTTGATCCCTATAATTTTCGGATAACTAGACTTTCAGCTAGGAAATCTGAACAGATGAAAAATTTTTAGGGGATAAAAATATGCCTATATCTACCGTTTATGTTCTCGTTGGGTGCCCCTGTTTGTTTTAAACGTCGTGCTACTGGCTCGACTGTAGCTCGACTGCAGCACGAGACTAGCACGTCGACTTGGTTTCAGACGTCGAATTTAATTCAGTCGAATTCGGAATAGAACGGCTGTTACCGAAAACAAAACACAAAAATAAAGAAACGGTTTAGCAAACTTTTATATGTATTCTAATGTATTTATAATTTATGAATTGAGTTCGGCACGGC